GTGCGTGTGCCTAGTTACCCCCATGTATATTTTTAAAATCTAACACTAAACTGCATCGACCTGTTGGCGAAAATGGATAGAAAGAATGACGATTGTTGTCACGGGTAGCAAGCAACGGAATTTTCTTCTTTTCTTTTGCGTATCTCAAAAAGTTAACAAGAAAATCGAAAGAACGCGTGTAACAACAAGCAATATTCAAGGGAGAACGAGTATTTCGAGCAAATCCAATGTGTCGGAAAAGATTCATCTTAGCGCTGATCACAATCAAGAGAGACTATCAAAACAGCTTAAGCGGAACAATAGGCACTGCTTTGCCGATCGCTGTTTATGACAAAGGGGGCATGGCGCATCCCTGTTCTATTGTTTCCCTAGACCTGCTGATGCTGCTAAGGTCCGCCCACCGAGTTTACCCATGCCAACGGCCCTTGACGACGAAGGCGGGGCATAGACCAGGCCACCGCTGTCGATGTGTGCAGCATCAGAATAATCAGAAAAAACAAATTTTTTGTTCAAAATGTAAAAATTTTATTCTGTTAAACGTTAGATACACGTTTAACCAATAATTAGACATAAAAAACCAAAAATGGCTATTTTTAGCTATATTTGGGTACATCCGCTCCTTAATGTCAATCCCTGGTCAGGTGGTGGTCTAAGTATATCATGATTCTTTTAGAGTGACACAAAATGTCGAATCCAAGTATTGGAACAGGTCTAGTAAATGTTCTGGAATAGGAGTAAATTGCCCTTTTCTTCATGGAAGTTAGATTTGACACCAACTGAACACAGTGTGTAAAATACCTTGATTGGATGGAAATATGTGACAATAAGGTCTTCAAGTTGATGCACAAAACACACTACACGTGACATAACTTACTGAATACTTCAATAGTAGTGTTTAGACGTGATGAACTTGGGTTTTACTATATTTCTTCAGGGTGTACTGAATTATAAGGTATTTGCAGTAATTTTGTGCATGATATATTTTATTTGTTCAACATATTTGCTCGTGACATCTTTATTTTATGAAATGTCAGTTTATTTAATCAATATTTAAAAGGTGCTGTATACACACCAGAAGACAAAAAAGACCAAGACTTGGCAGGATGGAGTTTTAAAAGTGTGCAGAGCTGGTTCAAAGGTAGTGAAAATTAGTACACATACAGGCAGCCACACATGCACTCTTTCTCTCTCTCCAGTAATTTGTTGTGTACAGATACATTGTGTCTGTTCATATAGCCACTACCTGCTCTGTCAGCTTTGCCATGCAAGTCTTTGGAAATAACACATTTCAAGGAAAAGCAAAAGGACTATGGACTTCAATCTTACAACAAAGCACAGGTCTACAACACAATTGATAATAATACATTTGGTAAATCATTATTAAAAAAAAGTTTATGTACATATCTATGCTATCCATTCATCTATAATTGTTCCAACATTAAACTATTCTGTAGAAACTTTAAAGCTCTCATATGATAAAGATAAAACACATCCAGAATTATTTACATACAGTTACCTTATGGCCAACATGGACGTCAGCATTCATCAGACTGATGTAAGCGCATGCGGTCATTTATAAGTATTTTAAAAGATTCTCTTATGTTGATCAATCAGAAGCTAATGGTATGAAAATATTTCACCTTGTGTTTTGTAATTACCATATATGATCCAGCTACCAAGCTAATGAACATTTTTGCTCTTTTTAATCTCTTGTGTTTCATTCTTTCAGGCAGTTCTGTTTAGTGATTCTGGATCTAAAGTAGACTCAGTCCATGTAAAGACAAATCAGGTAAGATACCCATCACGCAGCCCAAATCTTATATTATCATACATATTGTAGCAGTAACATTGATTAAAAGGTGCACAATATTAAAACTGTATACAGTATGAACCAGAGTGCAGTTCCCTTTGATGATTAAAAAAATATATGAGGGAAGTGGTGTACTTTTTAGGAAAATGACATTTTTGCTTTATAAAGGTCTATTGAGCATAGTGCGCCTTGCATATTTAAGTACACCTAAAACAATTATGTACATGTTATCCTGACATACCAAGATATTTTAAGTGTCTAACAAAAAGGGCGCTGTAAAGTGGGTCATATTTCAAACCAGTCTTTCCATTACATAATATGGTTTATCAAAATTTATGGCGGTCCTATGAAATTCAGCTAAGTAAATCATCATTACCATTGATATAACTTATTTTACATATTATTCAAATACTAAGCTAAACATTGGGGATGAAATAGAAAGTGACCGCCATCTCATCACCATTGAGGAAATCAAAGTCAGTGGAGGACAGGAGAGAGAACCAGTGAAAAATGAAGTAAAATCTAGTGATGGACGTGTTAACATGGATATCAGATATGGTATTAATCCATTGGTCTCGCATTCTGAGAGATTGAATGTTAACAGTGCTGCAGTTAGTCGACCATTGAAGCCTGGATTGAAAAGAAAGAGGACAGTAGGTGTATTTTTGACAAGATATGGGCACATATTAAATTTCTGTTGCAACACAAATGAGCAAAAAAAACTTTTTTTTATATCTCATTGGGTGGCTTATATATGTAGCTTCAGTTTTTCTAACAGACAATTCACAAATAACAAATCACTCCCATGTTAGAGATGTATAATAATTAAAGTAATGTGTAATTTTTTTATTCAGGAGTTTATTCCACCCAGATTAGTGAAACAGCAAGTTTTCCAGAGTGGAATCAATTCCCCCACTGCAACAGAGGCTTGTAGGGATCTAACTAATCATCATACAGCCGTACCAGATGAGAAATCTTCCTCTGGAACTAATATTTTTAACTTATATGGGGACCATGAAGTTTTTACTAAAAATAGAAATGTTCAAAGTAGGCCATGTGATGCTGAATGTAGTAACACTGAAGGAAACTCAAACAGTGTTGGCAGTAGGACATACAATTCACCTTGGAGTGTAATTGGTCAGCCTAGAAGGCCTAGGTTACTGGAAACAAAAGAGGAAGGAATTAGACATGAAGATACACAGTCAAAGAAAAGTTTAAACAGTGTGTCTTTGCCAGAAAAGGGAAAGCGCAGTGCTGCACAAATTCTTAAACTGATTGGTGGAAAACCTTTTAAGCCTCCCTTGAAACAATCAGTCAGGAGTGTTTTGGATGATAATATTAAAGAAAAGATTCAAGAAGATGAAGTAAATGAAACTGCCCGGTGTCATGCAAAGGTTCATGATAACCAGTATATTGCTCTTGAAGGCAATGATGTAACATTATCTAAGACTAAACACTTATTAGAAGATACAGTGCATTGTGAAACTTCAGATAAAGTTCAAGCAGTTAGTGAGACTAATGATGTAGCAGAAAATGATGCAGCTGTCATAGCAACAGAAGACGTAAGCATTTCCAAGTCCAAAGGTGTCTCTGTTGCAATTGAAGATTATGACATTACAGAAGAAGACACAACGGATGGTTACTTTGACATCAACTTTTCTCCATTGTCACAAGTATCAGATTTTGAGCCAGACTCCCCATGTTCCAGTGAAACCTTCCACGGCAATAAATTATCTCAAGATTATAATGTTTTGGTAGCCAAGCCTTTCCCATCCAGTTCAAGCAACAGTGAAACTTTATGTAATCATGGTTGCCCCAAAACCATGTCTAGTACCTCAAAACATGAGATTTATTTTAAATCAAATACAGAGGACACAGTTTTTGAATGTGAAAACAATGTGAAAGTTGAGATTGCCAACCAGAAAACACAGTTTGCAAAATGCTCATTACGTTCAACACCAGATGCAGAAGATACAGCAGTAAATAAATCAGCATCTTTAGTGAATTTTTCAACCTTGGAGGACTTCAGTCCAGGTCCATATGTTGGTAGTTTCTCAACGCCCACTGGCTCTCCTCAACAACAACTGCATGTAGTAGGTGATTCTTGTATCCAAAACCAAACCACTTTAACACCAAACCAAACACTAGGTTGCAATAATAGCATATTGAAACAAGAATTTGATGACTCTCCTGTATCCATTCAGAAAAACATTGGTAGTTTCCCTCCTCTACAAGGCTATAGATTGGTTGAAAATACATTTGGAGATGATCTTGTGCCAAGTGTGAATTCAGGTAGTGATGCAGATACAGAGCAAACACTTGTAAGTCCTATTACACAAGCCAAGGAAAGAATATGCTCTCAAGAAAATATGCTCTGCTCTTCCAGCTGTTTGCCAAGTAGTAGAAAAAGTTTGTTTGAATGTAAGGAAAATCACTTCACAAATTTACCACCTTTGGGGAATGTACACGAAGAACAAACTGAACATTTACATTCTCACNTAGTCTTTTTGTGTATGGTAGGTGAGAAAAGCAAAACTCCAAACTTTTCCATATTTTCAGCACTAAAATCTGTATTATCTATGGTAATTCAATGTTACTGATTTGCAGATTAACTCCAAACTTGATCAGTATGCACTCAAGGGGTCTGTGTCAGGGTCAGCAGCCAGAAGGGTAGTGTCTTCTCATGGTGGGTTCTCAGGTATGTCTACCATGCCATCTGGTGGGCATGTCCAAGATGAAAGGGGGAACTATCCCATTAGAAGAGACAGTGCTGTGCTGCAGGAGATACAGTTGCCTTATTATAGGTCACCAAACCAGATGGTGGGAATCTTTGCTGATTCTATTTGCCAAACTAGGAACTGTGTTGATGGTATGGTGCAAAGATACAGTAGTGTAATAGTTGTCAACACATTATATGTTTTGGTATTTTCAGAATTTTGTGTAATTTTGGAAAAATAACTTTTGAGATTGTTGCAAACTTTGAGTCTACTGAAAATAGTTATTCAAAGACTATTAGGGTGTGATTCATTATGGGAAATTGATGCAGCAATCAAAGGCATGGGAATGAAACATATGTTTTGCACAAGTGAATTAACTGCATAATTTTGCAATTTCTTTGACTGTTGGATGTGACCGTGTGGTCTTTTAGCATGTTAATTATGCCCCTTTGCACATTTCCAGATTATGATAAACCAAAAGAAGATTTGGCAGAGCAAAGTTTATATCAAGTGGAGACTGTGGAAAATGCATTAGGAAAAGTGGATTATAATCTTAAACCAACTGTAGTAAGTGGTGCCTTTTCCTTGTATAGTAAATGCATTTTTAAATGTTCAGACTGATTTTAAATAAAAATAATTTGTTTTTTGTAGATAAAGTTTCAAATTTGTATTTTGACGTATTAGTTTGTTTTTGTATTTGATCATTTGGTATTTGTTTTAGAATCCAATTTCCATTGGTTCTCCTCTACAAATGGTACCTTTGTACAACTTCTCCAACAATGAAAAGCATGAGACTTCACAAGAGGTTCCTGGTATGTTTTCTAGTAAGAAAACATTGGACTTTATAAATGGATAATTGAACAATTCACTGTGCATTATATTTTAACATTGAATTTGATAAAAATGCCAAGATTCACTTTTTAACGTAAGTTTTAGACATTTTCCATTTTTATATTCAATATTTTCCAGAAAACAGTTCTAACTCATCTCAGGAGAGTAGAATTTCTCTGAATACCAATCAACGAAGGCCATTAAAAAGCATACCATTTACAGATATTGTTGCACATGACTCATATGACAATTGGGATTTTCAACTACCTTCAACACGTAATACAACTGCAGATAACCTCTCATATTCATTGCCATTACCCCTTCAGAGTGCCCAGACAATGTCAGAAACATTATGTCCTAAATTGGTCGACAAGGGTAGAAGTGCAAATGAGTTAAATAATCAAAACAATTCCCCTGTGCTGCAAAGAGAAAAGGGGGACATGACAGACATATTTAATCTGGGAACTCCATCAGATAGTTCTCTTACAGATTATAGTATCTTCAGTGAGGATGGCAGCAACATGTAAAAGAACCCAGACCATGAGGACTAGTATGTGGAATCTTGTTATAGTGACTGCTCACAATCACAAAATGCAGATAATGTTGTTGATAATTTTGCTCCTTTAGAAGACGCCCCTCGTTTAACAATTGGGACTTCAGGGTCTGGTTTCAACACTGACTCTCAGTCAGGTACAAGCCTTGGTATTTTTGGAGGTGAGCTGAGTGAGAAGCCTACAGTTGGAGAGGATTTATTGCACGGATTTCCTCATCCAGAAGCAGTAGAAGACACAATGAAGAAGCAAGTAAACACAAATAGTCTTTTGAGGCCTGTTAATTGTTTTAAGCAACCCTCTATTGACAGAATCTCATTTACGTATCCTTCACGTATGCATGGGCAATTGTCTGCATCAGAGAGGTTTGTATCTGTGAATCAAGGAAACTCTGCAAATGAAAATTATCAGTATTCAGCTGCTTCAAAATGGTTAAAATTTGGTGACTTGAAGGATGATATAAAGGGGACTTGTTCAAATTACTGTGGAAGATTTGCGTCTCCTGCTACTTTCAGCAGCTTATCACCAGGAACAGCACTGGACAATGAACAATCTACTTCTCATGTAAAAATAGCACCATTTTCTCCATTAGGTGAGAGTCAACATTTCAGCAACGGAAGTGATATTTGTGGCCTTTCAAAGGTCAATAGTCAGACACAAAATGCTTATAATTTTTAACCGGAAACTATCAAACTGTGGCCAAGAAATCAAACATCAAGACCAGCATTAGAATCTCCAAGTACATAAGCCAGGTCATCGAGAGTTGGCACAACCTAGACCTAGAAAGGTTGGCAAGAGCACTTAAACCTCTAAGAATAATTGCACCAAATGTAGCTAATCATGGTTACCGTAACAAGTATCCCCAGATGTCAGGTCTAAGAGATTTGGATCATTCAACAAAAGCAAGTTCTCATTCAAAAGATAGGGAATCTACTAATGCACATCAAATTAAGGTAACATAATGACAAATAACTTAAGACACATTGCTTAAGGGTTTGTAATATATGCATTTTGAGTATTTGCTTCAAATTTAAACTTACAACAGGGCTTGACATTAAGGGTGGCCCACTGGCCCTGGGCCACTGAAAACCAACCTAGGGCCATTGAATCACTGGGGTCACTGGCTGAAAGAGCAAGTAAAATGCCATGTGCCAAATAACCCTTGCAATATTTTTCCGATATCTCGGGGCCAGTATCCATAAAAGTTAGTGTCAAGCCCTGTACAAGACCTGGCCATGTGCAGGAAGTAATATGTAAATATTCGTGAATATTTGTTAATTTGAATTGCATATCACTGGAAAAATGTGTGCTTTTTGGCTATGTTTATCAAACTGCCATATGAAAACTGGGGATCTCATTGAGCACCATCAGTTGCTTCAGACCTATTGAAGATTGACCTCGGGCAAAGCTATTTTTAGCCCAACTGTTGCATCAGGCATGATGTATTAAAATTTTGGCATTGTCAAGGTTTGAAACTCAGCATTATACTGGGCAAGTACACTTTCTATAATTTCTGTGTAGAACCTTTTTACATCTTTGATATATAGATAGTGTTTTGATTGTAAATGCATGTTATAACATTGATGGCAAGTAAACTGTATATACCATAGTCTTAAAAGTTAAAAGATTTAATGGAAACTCAACACTTTTAGTTATCAGCAAATCCATCTGTCATTTCCAGTAATTAACAGCACAGTGGTCCCTTCAAATTCCCTATTGTAGAATTTTTAAAAATAATTTTTAAACTGTCTAAAAAGGAAAGGGTACTTCTTGCATGGTATTAAACTTATGGTTTTTAGGCTACCTCAAAGGGGGAATTGAGGTTTCCAAGCAAGCAAGAAATTGGAGATGCTGACATGGCGAGAAGGCTAGCAAGGATACCAGTGAAATTTGCCACTGTACAGCAGTACACGGAATTGTTCGAAACTGCCCAAACAGGTATTTGTAAAATTCTTTTATGCTACCTGCAAAAATATTGTTGAAAATACTGTTTTCTTAAAGGGACAAACTGTAAGATTTTGACATGTTAAGGGTGTAAAACACCTCTTGTTAAATTTATCTGAGGGCAGGTTATGCTTTTTGATTATTTTAAACAGATAAATGCCATGAGTTTATGTTGCCAAAAAAAAGATCTTTTTTATCACCCGATGGGCCTCACCACCTGTCCATCATCAGATGCATTTATATTTTGAAAACAACCTGACACCTTTCTTCATCTCTTTCTTCAAGATTAGATGATTTAGTCCTTCCTGCTGTACCAATGTTTCTCCTCATTAAGTCTCTTTAGAACCAATTTTCTTTTTTCCCCTCATGACTTGGGAGACAATGACAAACCTTTGTATTTCTATATTTGTCATTTCATTTGGCAGAAGACATTAACATTCTCCTGAATAGGGTTTCCAAAACTTACCACCAAGCTCTTGAGAGAATGGCTAAACACAGTGATGGAAAGAAAGGTACAGTTATGTATTTAAAGTATGATATATGTAATATCTGATCACCCTTTTGGTCATGGTCAGAGCTGGTTTAAAATGAAATAAATTACTTTTATAACTTTATCTGGAGTCCATATGACCAGATAAATAGGACTCATTTTAAATATCTCTTAGTCTCATGACCCATCGTAAAGTGATAAGTTCATTTAAGNACTTTTCCATATTTTCAGCACTAAAATCTGTATTATCTATGGTAATTCAATGTTACTGATTTGCAGATTAACTCCAAACTTGATCAGTATGCACTCAAGGGGTCTGTGTCAGGGTCAGCAGCCAGAAGGGTAGTGTCTTCTCATGGTGGGTTCTCAGGTATGTCTACCATGCCATCTGGTGGGCATGTCCAAGATGAAAGGGGGAACTATCCCATTAGAAGAGACAGTGCTGTGCTGCAGGAGATACAGTTGCCTTATTATAGGTCACCAAACCAGATGGTGGGAATCTTTGCTAATTCTATTTGCCAAACTAGGAACTGTGTTGAAGGTATGGTGCAAAGATACAGTAGTGTAAAAGTTGTCAACACATTATGTTTTGGTATTTTCAGAATTTTGTATAATTTTGGAAAAATAACTTCTGAGATTGTTGCAAACTTTGAGTCTACTGAAAATAGTTATTCAAAAACTATTAGGGTGTGATTCATTATGGGAAATTGATGCAGCAATCAAAGGTATGGGAATGAAACATGTTTTGCACAAGTGAATTAATTGCATAATTTTGCAATTTCTTTGACTGTTGGATGTGACCGTGTGGTCTTTTAGCATGTTAATTATGCCCCTTTGCACATTTCCAGATTATGATAAACCAAAAGAAGATTTGGCAGAGCAAAGTTTATATCAAGTGGAGACTGTGGAAAATACATTAGGAAAAGTGGATTATAATCTAAAACCAACTGTAGTAAGTGGTGCCTTTTCCTTGTATAGTTAATGTATTTTTAAATGTTCAGTCTGATTTTAGATTAAAATAATTTGTATTTTTGTAGATAAAGTTTCAAATTTGTATTTTAATATATTAGTTTGTTTTTTTTATTTGATCATTTGGTGTTTGTTTTAGAATCCAGTTTCCATTGGTTCTCCTCTACAAATGGTACCTTTGTACAACTTCTCCATTAATGAAAAGCATGAGACTTCACAAGAGGTTCCTGGTATGTTTTCTAGTAAGAAAACAATGGACTTTATAAATGGATAATTGAACAATTCGCTGTGCATTATATTTTAACATTGAATTTGATAAAAATGCCAAGATTCACTTTTTAATGTAAGTTTTAGACATTTTCCATTTTTATATTCAATATTTTCCAGAAAACAGTTCTAACTCATCTCAGGAGAGTAGAATTTCTCTGAATGCCAATCATCGAAGGCCATTAAAAAGCAAACCGTTTACAGATATTGTTGCACATCAGGATTTTCAACTACCTTCAACACGTAATACAACTGCCGATAACCTCACATATTCATTGCCATTACCCCTTCAGAGTGCCCAGACAATGTCAGAAACATTATGTCCTAAATTGGTCGACAAGGGTAGAAGTGCAAATGAGTTAAATAATCAAAACACTTCCCCTGTGCTGCAAAGAGAAAAGGGGGACATGACAGACATATTTAATCTTGGAACTCCATCAGATAGTTCTCTTACAGATTATAGTATCTTCAGTGAGGATGGCAGCAACATGTCAAAGGACCCAGACCATGAGGACTAGTATGTGGAATCTTGTTATAGTGACTGCTCACAATCACAAAATGCAGATAATGTTGTTGATAATTTTGCTCCTTTAGAAGACGCCCCTGGATTAACAATTGGGACTTCAGGGTCTGGTTTCAACACTGACTCTCAGTCAGGTACAAGCCTTGGTATTTTCGGAGGTGAGCTGAGTGAGAAGCCTACAGTTGGAGAGGATTTATTGCACGGATTTCCTCATCCAGAAGCAGTAGAAGACACAATGAAGAAGCAAGTAAACACAAATAGTCTTTTGAGGCCTGTTAATTGTTTTAAGCAACCCTCTATTGACAGAATCTCATTTAGGTATCCTTCATGTATGCATGGGCAATTGTCTGCATCAGAGATGTTTGTATCTGTGAATCAAGGAAACTCTGCAAATGAAAATTATCAGTATTCAGCTGCTTCAAAATGGTTAAAATTTGGTGACGTGAAGGATGATATAAAGGGGACTTGTTCAAATTACTGTGGAAGATTTGCGTCTCCTGCTACTTTCAGCAGCTTATCACCAGGAACAGCACTGGACAATGAACAATCTACTTCTCATGTAAAAATAGCACCATTTTCTCCATTAGGTGAGAGTCAACATTTCAGCAATGGAAGTGATATTTGTGGCCTTTCAAAGGTCAATAGTCAGACACAAAATGCTTATAATTTTTAACCGGAAACTATCAAACTGTGGCCAAGAAATCAAACATCAAGACCAGCATTAGAATCTCCAAGTACATAAGCCAGGTCATCGAGAGTTGGCACAACCTAGACCTAGAAAGGTTGGCAAGAGCACTTAAACCTCTAAGAATAATTGCACCAAATGTAGCTAATCATGGTTACCGTAACAAGTATCCCCAGATGTCAGGTCTAAGAGATTTGGATCATTCAACAAAAGCAAGTTGTCATTCAAAAGATAGGGAATCTACTAATGCACATCAAATTAAGGTAACATATAATGACAAATAACTTAAGACACATTACTTAAGGGTTTGTAATATATGCATTTTGAGTATTTGCTTCAAATTTAAACTTACAACAGGGCTTGACATTAAGGGTGGCCCACTGGCCCTGGGCCACTGAAAACCAACCTAGGGCCATTGAATCACTGGGGTCACTGGCCGAAAGAGCAAGTAAAATGCCATGTGCCAAATAACCCTTGCAATATTTTTCCGATATCTCGGGCCAGTATCCATAAAAGTTAGTGTCAAGTCCTGTACAAGACCTGGCCATGTGCAGGAAGTAATATGTAAATATTTGTGAATATTTGTTTATTTGAATGGCATATATCACTGGAAAAATGTGTGCTTTTTGGCTATGTTTATCAAACTGCCATATGAAAACTGGGGATCTCAATGAGCACCATCAGTTGCTTCAGACCTATTGAAGATTGACCTCGGGCAAAGCTATTTTTAGCCCAACTGTTGCATCAGGCATGATGTATTAAAATTTTGGCATTGTCAAGGTTTGAAACTCAGCATTATACTGGGCAAGTACACTTTCTATAATTTCTTTGTAGAACCTTTTTATATCTTTGATATATAGATAGTGTTTTGATTGTAAATGCATGTTATAACATTGATGGCAAGTAAACTGTATATACCATAGTCTTAAATGTTAAAGGATTTAATGGAAACTCAACACTTTTAGTTATCAGCAAATCCATCTGTCATTTCCAGTAATTAACAGCACAGTGGTCCCTTCAAATTCCCTATTGTAGAATTTTTAAAAATAATTTTTAAACTGTCTAAAAAGGAAAGGGTACTTCTTGCATGGTATTAAACTTATGGTTTTTAGGCTACCTCAAAGGGGGAATCGAGGTTTCCAAGCAAGCAAGAAATTGGAGATGCTGACATGGCGAGAAGGCTAGCAAGGATACCAGTGAAATTTGCCACTGTACAGCAGTACACGGAATTGTTCGAAACTGCCCAAACAGGTATTTGTAAAATTCTTTTATGCTACCTGCAAAAATATTGTTGAAAATACTGTTTTCTTAAAGGGACAAACTGTAAGATTTTGACATGTTAAGGGTGTAAAACACCTCTTGTTAAACTTATCTGAGGGCAGGTTATGCTTTTGATTATTTTTAACAGATAAATGCCATGAGTTTATGTTGCCAAAAAAAAGATCTTTTTTATCACCCGATGGGCCTCACCACCTGTCCATCATCAGATGCATTTATATTTTGAAAACAACCTGACACCTTTCTTCATCTCTTTATTCAAGATTAGATGATTTAGTCCTTCCTGCTGTACCAATATTCCTCCTCATTAAGTCTCTTTAGAACCAATTTTCTTTTTTCCCCTCATGACTTGGGAGACAATGACAAACCTTTGTATTTCTATATTTGTCATTTCATTTGGCAGAAGACATTAACATTCTCCTGAATAGGGTCTCCAAAACTTACCACCAAGCTCTTGAGAGAATGGCTAAACACAGTGATGGAAAGAAAGGTACAGTTATGTATTTAAAGTATGATATATGTAATATCTGATCACCCTTTTGGTCATGGTCAAAGCTGGTTTAAAATGAAATTAATTACTTTTGTAACTTTATCCGGAGTCCATATGACCAGATAAATAGGACTCATTTTAAATAGCTCTTAGTCTCATGACCCATCGTAAAGTGATAAGTTAATTTAAGTTATGTTCAATTACAGCCTGTTGCAAAACAATATAGATTCGCCATGTTATGCATATTATTAGTACCATCAGCGTGTACGCTGGCGGTACTCATGGTTTTAGTCCCGAACCGTCTCGTACAGCTCCGCCGGCTCCTGCGGCTCCGCCAGCTCCGCAGTCGGGCGCCGGAAACAACTCACCGTTACCGCTTCTCCTCCTAGACCGCAAGGACCTGTGTCCCCATCTCTTGGATTTAGGTCACATATAATCTCAACTTGAACACCCTGGTTTTTTTGTCTCTGTCAGTGCATTGGTCTGGGCGTGACGCTTGTTGAAACACACCCTTGTCAAAATTTTTGAAAATTCAATGCTAAATATCTCCCAAACCAAAGGAATTATGGGAAAATTTACTACAGAAGTCTGACCAAAAGTCATATGTGGAGATTCCAAATATGCCCTTGGATTTGACTTTTGACCTTTTTTTCAAGGTCAAACAAGCCAAAATTTTCTAAAAATGGGAATTATCTGCAAAAAAATGTTTGTGTTAAGTTTTGGAAACTACACAGCCCTAAGCTCTCCTGTTATAGTGAAGGGTTACCATTGGGGACTCCTTTCATCTTTGGGAGTTTGGGGTCAATCGGTGCATTTTCACCAGAGAAGCAGCCATTAAATACCGAAACTGAAAACTCGCTCTAATTCTGGAACGGTAAATGCCAGAGACCTTTTGTTTATTGCATTTCGTAGACCTTGTCAAGTGCAATACTGGAGGTGGTGTCCATTTTTTGTTTTCGATATGGTTTAGGCGTTGCGCTATATCAAAAATTACAATATCGCAATATTCGGTGGGGAAAATGTGAAATACTCCAAAATTAGCAGAGATACGCCCATAGTTACTATTGAACTTGATAAGGAAGTCATATACTGGTAATCTAACTGTGACCTTGAAATAGACCTTTGACCTTCTTTTCATAATGAACTGCACTTTGCAACTTTTCTGATCTTAATATCTCCAAAACTGGCAAAGATACGCCTATAGTTACTATTGAACTTGAATAGGAAGTCATATACTGGTAATCTAACTGTGACCTTGAAATTGACCTTTGGCCTACTTTTCAGTACTGCACTTTGCAACTTTTCTGATCTTAATATCTCCAAAACTGGCAAAGATACGCCCATAGTTACTATTGAACTTGAATGGGAAGTCATATACTGGCAATCTAAATATGACCCTGAAATTGACCTTTGACCTACTTTTCACCATGAACTGAACTGTCAAGCGCAACACTGAAGGTGGTGTCTTTTTTTGTTTTCGATACGGCTTAGGCATTGTACTATATCGACAGTTCAACATCCAATATTTAGTGGTGAAAATAAAATGTGAAATACTTCAAAATTAGCAAAGATATGCCCATAGTTACTATTGAACTTGAATAGGAAGTCATATACTTGTAATCTTACTGTGAACTTGAAATTGACCTTTGACCTACTTTTCATGATGGACTGCACTTTGCAAGTTTTCTGATTTTTATATCTCCAAAACTGGCAAAGATATGCCCATAGTTACTGTTGAACTTGAATAGGAAGTCATATACTGGCAATCTAACTGTGATCCTGAAATTGACCTCTGACCTACTTTACACCATGAACTGAACTTTGCAAAATTTCCAGCCCTTATATCTCCAAAACTGGCAGAGATACAACCATAGTTACTGTTAAACTTAAATAGGAAGTCATATACTGGCAATCTTATTGTGACCTTGGAATTGACCTTTGACCTACTATTTATGATGAACTGCACTTTGCATGTTTCCTGGCCTTCATATCTCCAAAATTAACAAAGAAATGGCCATAGCTACCAGTGATTGGGAAGGTTCAAACCACCCATGGGACAATGGCCCCTCCTGGGTCACCCTTAATGGGCCATTTTGAATATCAATGGGCCATCGCTTGACATTTATGGGCCATTTTTAAACATGACAAATATATTTGAAATATCTGTATCAATATTTTTGGGAATAATATGATAAGGTTTTGCAGTTAAACTTTTTTAATATATTTATTTAGTTTAGACTTTTGTTTGTCTTTTTCAATAAAACCATTACAATGCCTTCTTTACTGAACTTATTTGAAAACTAAATGAAAAAACAAAATGATCAGAAAACATGTAATACTCATTAGTAATTGGTTTTTATTTGATGAAACCATCAACAAGAGGTAAACAATCTAGATCTCTGAAAACCTTGATTACTCAAAACTGAGAAAATGTAAATGAAATTGTCTTCACATACTGTCTAGTACTTATTAATCAGTCTTACTGAAAAGAGATTTCATTACTTAATGAAGTAATCTCTTTTTCCTGTGCCACATATTCAGTGCATCCTTATAACTTATGTTACTCCCAAGAATCTTAACTCTTACACTGTTCGCAGTCGTACTGGAGCCAGGGCCATAGTTGAAGCCATCGGGGTTGGAAACCTCGTGCGACCTGAGAGTGAGAGGTGCTAGCACTAGCAGTAACACTACTGTCAGTGTCACTACTACTCCTCGTAGTGCAAGGAGGCCTGCTCTCAGAAGTTGGTACATTTTCTTCCCCAGTCTCCTTTGAGACTTCTTCTTGAACGTTGGACGGACCCTTAGACGAAGCGGTTGAAGTAAATAAACTAACTAATGTAGGCTGGTCTGGCGAGATTTTAAAAATCTTTTTCGGCAGCATTTTTCTTTTCACTTCACCAAAGTGCTGCTTGAAAAAATCCCATGTGCTTTCAGAACGAAAAGCAAGGTTACTTCTAATTGGATAAACATGACCTATAAATTGATTGGCCAATAATATATCAGTTTTTATTTCATTAGCATATCTATTGGGATGATGAGCTCATTGCTCTCGGCAAACTTCGGCGATTGAGTTCGATAGCTTCCAAATTCGTTCCTGAGACGTCTTCAGGTATGAGAGGAAAATTACGCTAATCAGTTGAGGAATAGTTTATTGACGAGTAGACCCTTTTTAAAAACACGAGGTATAACAAAATCACGCGCCCTTATGGCACCCAAACAGGGCTTTTTATGTGCCCAGTTAGATTCTATGCGCGTATGGCGCAATGGCGCGTTCCTTCCCAATCACTGAGCTACTATTAAACTTATATAGGAAGTCATATACTGTGACCTTGAAATTGACCTTTGACCTACTATTTATGATGAACTGCACTTTGCATGTTTCCTGGCCTTCATATCTCCAAAATTGGCAAAGAAATGCCCATAGCTACTATTGAACTTATATAGGAAGTCATATACTGTGACCTTGACCTTTGACCTACTTTTTCACCACAAACTGAACTCTGCATATTTTCTTGCCCCTCATATCTTCAAAACTAGCAGAGATTGCCTACTGTTGTCCCTAGGATTTCTCTTTTGTCAGTATATATGCAATACTGATAACGCATTTCAAGGAAAACCAATAGGCCTATTGTCTAGAAAATCACAGGAGTGATCAATGTTAGGAAAATATATTTTGAGAACTCTTCTTTATTCCATTTTATAGAGCTTGTCAAACACAAGACTGGTGGTGGTGTCCATTTTTTTTTTTTTTTTTGGGGGGGGGGGGGGGTTCCGCTGGTGGTACAATATCCAGAGGCGGTATCGCCTCTCTGATCCTCTAGTTTTCGTATTGCTTTCTAAGACTTTCCTGGCAAATGAACTTTCTCTTGGAGGGTCTCCAGTAGGTGACTCTCATACCTAATCTTCAGGCTATTAAGCTGTCAGTCCCTTGAAATGTAACGCTACTGTCTGTAACTTGATGTGAAAAGGGTTATTTGAATACTTGACATTTAAACATGTATAGAAATTGGGTGTTATTTAAAGATGATAATAATTGCCTGTTGTGCTTGTTCTGTTAATTTCTGAAAGGGTGGTAAAAGTTCCATCAAATAAATTTTCTTGGGGTAAATGGCAAATTTCCCATGCATAATAATAGTAAATTAATCCATTTCTACATTAAAAGTTCATTGATTTTTTTAAGTGTGGTTTTTGTCATAATGCATTAAGAGATTATTATGGTGGGTAGCCATCTTTGAAGGTCCGTGTGGTTCAATGGCAAGCACAGATTTCAGAAAAATTGTACTAATTGCTGTTTATGTGGTAAAATGAAATTTATTATATTTCTCTGTGTTGTGAACAATGTATTTATTGTGAAATTTTGAGTCTCATGTAAAGACTTTAAGCTTGAGCTTTTTCCTCTCTAGTTTTTCATATATTCAATAGTTAGTGACATTGTTGCTGGAACCCTTAAACTTCAGAAGCACAACAATGGGATGGTTTTGTTTTATTTATCAGTAATAATAATAATAATAATAATAAGAATACTTTAGTTCTGTCTTATTTTAAAAATTGCTGATATATTTGTAGGCCTTGTAAAGAGAACTACATACAAACCACAAAGTTTAAATCCCCTTTGCCACCATGGTGTAACATCCAAGATTGAAGTGGTTAAAAAGGATGGGAAGAATAAGGTAATTTAATGTTTTTATTATCTTTCGGAAATCCAATGACAATATAATCACATATGATGATAAAGATTAATTTTGCATCTCTTGTCATTCTGTTTATTTCTCTTCTAGGGTCGAAATTTTTTTGTGTGTAATTTGCCACTTAAGCAGCAGTGTGAGGTAGGTGAATGGCTTGTTGTATCAGAGAAAGTATCGAGAGGCAAGGATCTTGCATAAATTTTTCTCCAATTAGTCAAAACATGATTTTGAAAGCGCAAAAATTGATAGTTACATTAAAAATGAAACTACAACAGTTTAAAGGTTGCTGGCTGAGAAAAGGCAAAATCTAGACATTCATTTTAACATGCCTTGATATATACCATGTACATTCGAAAACAGAATCTTGCCTGTGAATTGAATTGTCAGTATAATTGAAGTCATGCTAAAAGCAATAATAACTCTTCCTTTGAGATTCAAAATTCCGCAAGAAATACATTGTAAACAACGTATGGAAATATATTCTATTGAATTTTACCACTAAAACGGCTGTTATTGTAGTAAAACTAAAATCTGTGCTTGTCAATAGGGCTTTCGATGCCTTTCTTCCCGGCCGTCAAGGCATCCGTTGCCAATGACATCAGGGTGTCACGCGGATTCTCGCGTTCATTCGAGACCAAAATAACTTCCGGCGCCAAACGCCTGATGCAATATGCAGACGTAAGTTGCGAGTTTTTGTACTGTGCGTCGGATAACGAAAAGTCCAGAATAGCACACATTGTAGATATAAATGCATTTTGAGCTATAAGACTAATATATCTTATGAATCTTATATTATTGTTATGAAGTGTTGTTGTTGTCTGCTTTTCCCGCGGTTTTAAGTAGGTCACCAGAAACTATCGCACAATATTGCGTGACTATGCAATGTCAGAGAGGGCTCCAAAAAACCAAACGTTTAGGAAAAAAACCCTGGACTAACTTTGAATGCAGTAATGGGGTCGCTGACCATTGGTAAGTATGGGAAAATTGCCTTTTACTCCAGGAAAATCCAATTTTTGGCCAAAATGAAGAGTTATTATGACTTTAAAATTATCAAAACAAAAATAATAGATCCAATATGGTTTTTAATTAAATATGTTGTGCATGCATGATTCAGAAAATCAGCCATGTATTAGTTTTAACAAAATATTCCAGCTGCAGGTGACCTAAAGCACACTGTAGAATCTAAAACAGTTTAAGCTAGTTGCTTTAAAGTTTCGGGTCAATCACTTGTGGTTGATTTTACTGTTAAATTTGATAGTGTTCTATCATTATCTGACTTGGGGAAAACGCCATTGTCTCTGCTTCAATCAGTCATCAAATAAACTGTTAAAATTAAAATATTTTCTATAAATTTCCTAGTCTGTCCAACCATCCCACCAAATCAAACTAGTAGTTATTTTTTTAAAGGGGCCTTTACACCTGTCTGTAGCCAGCAATTCCAGAGAAGGGTTCTTTTTCTTAAAGAATTTGACCTTTTTACCCCTTTTTACTTCTTAGTTGACTCATCTTGAGAAATGACATAGTTTAAATTGTGATTCAAAGTAGTATCTGAGGATCCTCTAATCTGGAACAAAAATAGTGACAATTGGTAAGTTATAATGGAATAACTTTACCCATTTTTTTCTTCATTTCCACTGCCATTTGACTTAGGGCCAGTATGAACTTTTCCCATCTGTTTGTAGAACTTAAAAGAAAAGAACCTGCTCATAAATCTGAGACTGAAAGTTAACTTTAATTCTTTTTTCCAATTCCTGAAGTTTGTTTGCTCCATTTACAAGTTCTTGCTGAAACTTTTTTTAGTTCTTCCTGTGGTCAGATGTGTACAGGACTGCATGTAGACTTCTGACTGTAGATGATGCTGACAGCAGTGAATCCTTATGCAAGAGCTATGGTGTAGATTTCTTCAGTGAGTGTGAGTTTGGTACACGAAGAATTAAAAACTGGAGGATATATCAAAAAGGATTTCCAGTGAGTTACAGGCTGCAGTATGCATTAATGGGGATTAGAAATTGTGCTTTGTTCTAGCCTTGTTCTATAAGGTATCACATTTTTGTATTCCAGTGGCAACTTATAGTGTCTGCCACGTGACATTTGCCATTGAAACTTTGAACCTATTATCTGAACAAAAATAAAACTTTTCACAAGAAAAACAACTTCAGGCCATCAAGACATACCCTATGTGTGTCACTGCTTGTTTGTTTGTGCCAAATATATTGTTTTTATATGTATTCCAGAAATGGGTAAGAAGGGGTTACCTTGAAGATGAGAAGCTCACAGAGAGAAAGCTATATCTCCAGCTTAGAAAGTGGAATTATTCCTCAAATTTTGCCAAAGGTTAATATGGAATTTTTTCATTCAATTATATAATTGTAATTGTACCACCAGCGTAGGCGCTGGCGGTACACATGGTTCAAGTCCCGACCCGCCTGTTTTGCCAGCTCTGCCGCCATGTCATCATTACCGCTTCTCCTCCTAGACTACAAGGGCCTGCGTACCCATCTCTTGGATTTAGGTCACCTAAAATCTCAACTCGTTCCACGTAAAATTTGGGCTTCGTCGGTGCTGGGGTCTAGGTGTGGCACTCATTGCAATGCACCCTTGTCCAAAATTGGCAAAATTAAATGTTAATTATCTACCCTACCGAAGGAATTATGGGAAAATTTTCTACAGATGGCTGATCGAAAGTCATGTGGAGATTTCAAATATACCCTTGGATTTGACCTTTACTTCAAGGTCAAATGGGCCAAAATTTTCAAAAACATATTTTTTTTACGAAAAAAAAATTATTTGCTCTGTTATTCAGAAACTACACAGACCTAACCTATAATATTATTGGCAGGTGTTACCCTTCGGGTCATCTTTCATCTCCTTGAGTTTGGGGTGAATCGGTGCATTTTCACGGGAGTAGCGAGCATAAGATACCGATACTGAAAACTGTCTCTAATTTGGGAACCGTTAATGCTAGAGACCTGTTCTTTTTTGCATTTTGTAGAGCATGTCAAGCCTAACACTGGAAGTGGTCTCCATTTTTTTTTTTATTTCCTTATGTTTTTCGAGTTATGCTGTATCAAAACGTACACTGTCTCTAATTTGGGAACCGTTAATGCTAGAGACCTGTTCTTTTTTTGCATTTTGTAGAGCATGTCAAGCCTAACACTGGAAGTGGTCTCCATTTTTTTTTTATTTCCTTATGTTTTTCGAGTTATGCTGTATCAAAACGTACATTGTGTTGGTGAAAGCAAAATATGCAATACTGTAATGCTTAATAAATTTTGAACCTCTGAAAAATAAAACAGAAGGCTTGGCGAGGCAGACAACGTGAAATTTGAACATCTGGAACTTCTGAGCACCTCCCATTTCAAGAATTTCAACCAAAATGACCTTAATTTCAATTAATTTCTTTTGTACAAAATTTATGGCACATAATTGTAACTCTGAATTTGTACCATTTAGTCCCTTATATCTCCAAAACTGGCACAGATAGGTCCATAGTTACCATTGAAGTTGAATAGGAAGTCATATACTGGCAATTTTACTGTGACCTTGAAATTGACCTTTGACCTACTTTTCACCACGAACTGAACTTTGCAACATTTAAGTCCCTTATATCTCCAAAACTGGCAAAGAAACGCCCATAGTTACTATTGAACTTGAATAGGAAGTCATGTATTGGCAATCTAACTGTGACCTTAAAATTGACCTTTGACCTACTTTTTTACCATGAACTGACCTTTGCAAATTATCCTTTCCTTTCATCTCCAAAACTGGCAGAGATAGGTTCATAGTTACTTTTGAACTTGAATAGGAAGCCACATACTGGCAATCTAAGTGTGACCTTGAAATTGACCTTTGTATTACTTTTCATCATGAATTGAATTTTCATTCCCTTTTATCTCCAAAACTGGCAGACATACGTCCATACTTACTATTGAAGTTAAATAGGAAATCATATACTGGTAATCTGTGACCTTGAAATTGACCTTTGACCAACTTTTCGTGATAAACTATATCTCAAAAACCAGTAGAGATACACCCAAGGTTGCTGTTTATTTTGAATAGGAAGTCATGCACTGGCAATCTAACTGTGACCTTGAAATTGACCTTTGACCTACTTTTCATGCTGAACTGCTTTTTGCATGTTTTCTGGCCTTTAAATCTCCAAAAATGGCAAAGAAATACCCATGGTTACTATTGAACTTGAATATAAATTCATATACTTTGATATTGAAATTGACCTTTGACCTACTTTTTCACCATGAACTGAGCTTTGCATATTTTCTTGCCCCTCATATCTTCAAAACTAGCAGAGATGTGCCCGTTGTTGCCTCTAGGTTTTCTCTTTTGTCAGCATATATGCAACACTGACAACATATTTCAAGGAAACCAATAGGCCTATTTTGTCTAGAGAATCACAGGAGTGATCAATGTTAGGAAAATACAGGTCAATTAGAAAATCTGCTTGATTGTACCATTTTTAGTTATACTTTTTTGCATATTTTGAGAACTTGTTGATTGCATTTTATAGAGCTTGTCAAGCACAAGATTGGTGGTGGTGTCCCTTTTTTTTTTGGGGGGGGGGGTCCATAGGAATGCGCTTACTTCAGCTGGTGGTACAATATCCGGAGGCGGTATCGCCTCTCTGATCCTCTAGTTTTTTTCTGTATTTAGCTGTAGTGCAGTGTTGCTGTGGACAGGACTGGAAAACTGGCATGTTTTTCATTCAAGTTTTCTAAGTCTTGTGTGTACAGTAGGACTGATTTACAGGTCTAGATGACATTTTTATTTCAAATGAAATACTTTCTTTACTCTTGATCCTTAGCTGGTAGTCAGCTGAATGCACTAGTGGGCTTGATTTGGTCTTAAAGAGCAATTTAAGTTCACAAATAGTCTTACATGATCTTAAACCATGAGTAAGGCCATTTCTGGTCTGACAGCCAATTAAGTTGTCTCCCCTTACACATTCTCCTATTGTGAGCAGAAGTGTCCTCTTTTGTGAGGGGAGGTGTCCCCCATTGTGAGGGGAGGAAACTGCTTGACCACTTAAGTAGATGTTAGATCATTTTGGACCTTAAAAGCAGATTCAGTCCATTTTAAGACTACTGCTGTAATGATTAAGATCGTGTAAGAGCACTTGTGATCTTAAATTGCATTTTAAGACCAAATCCAGCCCACTAGTGATGTCAGGCACGGTCATCGTAAGAAACTTTTTAAATCTATTTTACAGGAATTATTTCATTGCGTTAAATGAAAATTAATTGTTATCTATTCAGTCTTGACACAGATACTGGACTGAATATTTGTCAACTTGTTAAAATACCAAGCAACATCTAGACAATTTGCAAGATGCTCACATAAAAAATGCTCAATTGAAAGATTATTTGTAATAATAAATTTCTTAATATTTTTGGTTTCTCTTTGTATGTTCAGGCGACTTGTGGATGATTTCAAAGACGATGGACTTCTCACCAGAGTCCACCTTCCTGGCTTACAGTGTGTTTCATGGTGTTGGCTCAACTGGAGAGCTAGAGATAGAACCACTTAGAGGATGCTTTCTGTCTGACTGGGAAGATGAGAGTTAGTACAGATTTTTTTTCAGTATATTTGCAACACTGATAACACATTTCAAGGAAAACTGATAAGCATATCATCTTGAAAATCACTGGAGTGATCAATCTTACTGGAATACAGGTTGAGTTGGAAAATCAGCTTGTGTATATAAGTGGTTTTTTCCTCAGATTTGATTCTTAGGCATGTTAACAGTCTCATTATTGAACTAATTAGATATGTAAAAGTGTTCTTTTGACATTTTCTGCATCTTAACAATGCTGTTAGTTAATTGTATAAAAATGATGGTAAATAAAGTGTCAAAAATGGAAATAAACTCATATCATTGCAGTTTGTCAGATTCAACAATTCACTATGTTCAGGATCTAAGAATGGATCAAATTTGATATTTTAAATTGTTTTATTGATATTTTTCCTATCTCAACAATATTCTTAATTAATCGTATAAAAATTACAGTAAATTGATTATTTTGTTTAATGTAAATAAAAGTGTTGAAAATGGAAAGAAACTCATTTCACTGCAGTNTTTTTTTATTTCCTTATGTTTTTCGAGTTATGCTGTATCAAAACGTACATTGTGTTGGTGAAAGCAAAATGTGCAATACTGTAATGCTTAATAAATTTTGAACCTCTGAAAAATAAAACAGAAGGCTTGGCGAGGCAGACAACTTCTGGTAAAAAATGACATTATTTCTTGAAATTTGAACATCTGGAACTTCTGAGCACCTCCCATTTCAAGAATTTCAACCAAAATGACCTTTTCTTAATTTCAATGAATTTCTTTTGTACAAAATTTTTGGCACATAATTGTAACTCTGAAATTGTACCATTTAGTCCCTTATATCTCCAAAACTGGCAGAGATAGGTCCATAGTTACCATTGAAGTTGAATAGGAAGTCATATACTGGCAATTTTACTGTGACCTTGAAATTGACCTTTGACCTACTTTTCACCATGAACTGAACTTTGCAACATTTAAGTCCCTTATATCTCCAAAACTGGCAAAGAAACGCCCATAGTTACTATTGAACTTGAATAGGAAGTCATATATTGGCAATCTAACTGTGACCTTAAAATTGACCTTTGACCTACTTTTCACCATGAACTGAACTTTGCAAATTTTCCTTTCCTTTCATCTCCAAAACTGGCAGAGATAGGTTCATAGTTACTTTTGAACTTGAATAGGAAGCCACATACTGGCAATCTAAGTGTGACCTTGAAATTGACCTTTGTATAACTTTTCATCATGAATTGAATTTTCATTCCCTTTTATCTCCAAAACTGGCAGACATACGTCCATAGTTACTATTGAAGTTAAATAGGAAATCATATACTGGTAATCTGTGACCTTGAAATTGACCTTTGACCAACTTTTCATGATAAACTATATCTCAAAAACCAGTAGAGATACACCCAAGGTTGCTGTTTATTTTAAATAGGAAGTCATGCACTGGCAATCTAACTGTGACCTTGAAATTGACCTTTGACCTACTTTTTATGGTGAACTGCGTTTTGCATGTTTTCTGGCCTTTAAATCTCCAAAAATGGCAAAGAAATGCCCATGGTTACTATTGAACTTGAATATAAATTCATATACTTTGATATTGAAATTGACCTTTGACCTACTTTTTCACCATGAACTGAGCTTTTTCTTTTTCTGCATATTTTCTTGCCCCTCATATCTTCAAAACTAGCAGAGATGTGCAAGGTGTTGCCCCTAGGTTTTCTCTTTTGTCAGCATATATGCAACACTGACAACATATTTCAAGGAAAACCAATAGGCCTATTTTGTCTAGAGAATCACAGGAGTGATCAATGTTAGGAAAATACAGGTCAATTAGAAAATCTGCTTGATTGTACCATTTTTAGTTATACTTTTTTGCATATTTTGAGAACTTGTTGATTGCATTTTATAGAGCTTGTCAAGCACAAGATTTGTGGTGGTGTCCCTTTTTTTTGGGGGGGGGGGTCCATACGAATGCACTTACTTCAGCTGGTGGTACAATATCCGGAGGCGGTATCGCCTCTCTGATCCTCTAGTTTTTTTCTGTATTTAGCTGTAGTGCAGTGTTGCTGTGGACAGGACTGGAAAACTGGCATGTTTTTCATTCAAGTTTTCTAAGTCTTGTGTGTACAGTAGGGCTGATATACAGGTCTAGATGACATTTTTATTTCAAATGAAATACTTTCTTTACTCTTGATCCTTAGCTGGTAGTCAGCTGAATGCACTAGTGGGCTTGATTTGGTCTTAAAGTGCAATTTAAGTTCACAAATAGTCTTACATGATCTTAAACCATGAGCAAGGCCATTTCTGGTCTGACAGCCAATTAAGTTGTCTCCCCTTACACATTCTCCTATTGTGAGCAGAAGTGTCCTCTATTGTGAGGGGAGGTGTCCCCCATTGTGAGGGGAGGAATCTGCTTGACCACTTAAGTAGATGTTAGATCATTTTGGACCTTAAAAGCAGATTCAGTCCATTTTAAGACTACTGCTGTAATGATTAAGATCGTGTAAGAGCACTTGTGATCTTAAATTGCATTTTAAGACCAAATCCAGCCCACTAGTGATGTCAGGCACGGTCATCGTAAGAAACTTTTTAAATCTATTTTACAGGATTATTTCATTGCGTTAAATGAAAATTAATTGTTATCTATTCAGTCTTGACACAGATACTGGACTGAATATTTGTCAACTTATTAAAATACGAAGCAACATCTAGACAATTTGCAAGATGCTCGCATAAAAATGCTCAATTGAAAGATTATTTGTAATAATAACTTACTTAATATTTTTGGTTTCTCTTTGTATGTTCAGGTGACTTGTGGATGATTTCAAAGACGATGGACTTCTCACCAGAGTCCACCTTCCTGGCTTACAGTGTGTTTCATGGTGTTGGCTCAACTGGAGAGCTAGAGATAGAACCACTTAGAGGATGCTTTCTGTCTGACTGGGAAGATGAGAGTTAGTACAGATTATTTTTTTTCAGTATATTTGCAACACTGATAACACATTTCAAGGAAAACTGATAAGCATATCATCTTGAAAATCACTGGAGTGATCAATCTTACTGGAATACAGGTTGAGTTGGAAAATCAGCTTGTGTATATAAGTGTTTTTTTCCTCAGATTTGATTCTTAGGCATGTTAACAGTCTCATTATTGAACTAATTAGATATGTAAAAGTGTTCTTTTGACATTTTCTGCATCTTAACAATGCTGTTAGTTGATTGTATAAAAATGATGGTAAATAAAGTGTCAAAAATGGAAATAAACTCATATCATTGCAGTTTGTCAGATTCAACAATTCACTATGTTCAGGATCTAAGAATGGATCAAATTTGATATTTTAAATTGTTTTATTGATATTTTTCCTATCTCAACAATATTCTTAATTAATCGTATAAAAATTACAGTAAATTGATTATTTTGTTTAATGTAAATTAAATTGTTGAAAATGGAAAGAAACTCATTTCACTGCAGGCATCTCTGGTGTACATATTGGCATTTTCAAGGTGTGACTTAGAAATTTCATGGGCCTGAAGACCTTTGCTAGTCACCTTTTCTAAATATCCATGTTGCCTGCAATGCATTATTAAAGATTGGTGGTGCCTGTGCTGTTAAGCATTATGTAATATTGCATCAAAATTAAAGAAAACCCTATTTTGGGCACTGCCACCATAGTGACCATTAAAAGAAAACCATGTCACTTACTCTTCTCAATCTTACAGGAAGGAAACATAGGACTTTTTTTATTTAAAAATACAGTTTTAGCTGGAAAACAAGTCTGATTGCTTTTTTCTGGAAGTTAAACAGGCTTTTGTGAAAATTTAATTTTTCACATATTGGCATTTTCAAGGTGTGACTTTGAACCTGCGTGGGCATGAGGACCTTTGCTAGTCACATTTTCTGAAAATCCATGATACTTTTATTTTATTATTAAAAATGGATGGACATTAGGCTGTTAAGCATTATGTAATATTGCATAAAAGTTGAAGAAGACTGTATTTTGGACACTGCTATAAGGGGACCATTAAGGGAAAACCATGCTACTTATGATTCTCAAACTTACTGAAAGGATTCATAAGACTGAAGTGCAGCTTGTGTTGGAAAATCAGTGTGATTGCTTTCTGTTTTAGAAGCAATGCAGTTCTTTATGAAAATTTCATTTTTCAAATAGTCTTTGATGGTACTTGGATACAATTGGTGGTCAGTGTTGGGTAATCACTAGCTAAGTTCAGGGCTATTAAGTCACTTGCCTAATTAAGTTTCAAGCGGCCATTAAATGAGATTACATAAAATACATGTTGAGATTTCCCTGTAAACTCCCATAACTTTAGCTCACTGACAAATTCAGTTTGTAAAAGTCTAAATTAACAGTGTTACATAATTAGGAATCAGTGATAATTATGCAGGTAAATGTTGTTTAATATAATTGCAAATAAGTTTACAAAAAATATTTTATATAATGCCAGCATTAATGCTTTAGATGAATAACAGTGCCTTATTACCCTCAAACTCAATCATAAATGGGGTTATTCATATCATGTTAATACAGCTAGATTAAAAGTTTGAATTAAAGCTTTATTGGAATATTTTTTGTTATGTTGTCTTTTTAATCTTTTGATTTTATTTTTCAAACACTGGCATTTTCAAGATGTGACTTTTAACTCCCATCTACCTGAAGCTGTATACCTCTTCTATATTTCCACATAAGCAATAGTATTGGTATTTATGTCTTTAAACATTGTTATATTATTTTATGCACTGTCATAATTTTTTCACATATTGGCAATTTCATTATGTGAATTTTAACAATTTTGCCTCTTTGTTCTGTATTTGGCTCATAAATTATTATTTTTTCCTTCTATATGAAACAGCCTTGTGCTATGCCATCCGTGGTGCCAATTTCAAGAATGAAATAGCATGTCTTTACAACCTACAGAAAAATGTCTGTCCACAGAAAGTGCCTATACTGCCACATTTATTAAGCAGGGATGCTGACAGGTAAAAAACTTTTATCTGGAGTGACAGGTCTGATACATTATGACCTGCTTCTTTACATTTAAGTCTCCATATGTACACCCTTATCGGACTCTAGAAACATCTATACCCATCCAGTCATCTACATTTTCTGGTTCTAAGGAAAGGCATAAGATCTAGGTAAAACTTGTCTAAAAATGTTTTACTGAGAGTAACAGTGAAATGCTACTGAAGTTAAGAAACAGCAGGTGGGGATGTATGGAGATTAGATCATGGAGAAGCTGGTCAGCCTGGCTCTAAACCCCAGGTTAAGGACATTGGGAGATGGTTCCACTGTTGGTGTGTGCTTGATTCTTATGTGGGAAAAATATTGTACAAGACTTTAATAGATAGATATTATATGGGACAAAATTCACAGCTACGATGATTTGACTTATCAGGTATGATTTTAAGAATCCTTTGTCCACATACATTTATATTTATCCAACCAATATGAAAATGGTTGTAGGGAATTTCTTCCTTCATTATTGATCAATTTGGTAATAAAAAATGATGAAGTGTGTTTTGTTGATTGAAATTAGAATTTTTCTTTTTTAGCATGGACAACCGAAAGAAGCAAAACAGAAGTTTTCTACTGACAAGGAGAGAAGTGGTGCGTTCAAGACGTAGACTGAATTAGCATGACTGGCTTAAGTGGCTTCCTGTTGCATTTTGTTTACCACTTTGTCTTTTTGAGTAGGATGTCCATATATCTAGATTGTCCACAAAATTTTAATTCATTGAAGGGATGGATTGGGTAATGAAAGTTAAGGGCAAATTTAAACATGACCTTGAATTTGGATTTGGCAAGTGGATCAAATGCTTCAAGATGAGAAACAATATAATTGGTAGACATTATTGCACTGGAAGTCTGTAAGTAGGTGGATTCAGTTTTGCCAAGTATTCATCATTTTCCGGGATTGAAAGACTGTTGACAGGCCTCGTTAAATGTTTGTCAGTTGGTGAGCTTTTCCCTCACAATCTAAGGCAGTGCAAACCTATTCATTCATTTTCAAATTGTTAAAAATTTGCAATACCACAATTCTTTACAAGCATTGTTTCAAACTCATTATGATTACTAATTGCCTTAACAGTGTTTCTTATGTTAGGCTTTTTTCCCCCAAATGCTTAGATAATGAAGCAATAAACATTTTCATGTTATGAGATCATGCTGTAGCATCAAGAATACAAGGTGAATTTCCTTATTTGAGCTGTCGTCAAAATAGCAGTATTTTTTGTGGGGTGAAAATTAATACTGCTTTCCGACTGATCTCTCTCATCTACACAGTCATCAACAGTTTTAACAAATGTACTATTTAATCACATCATTGAGTAGCACAATTTTATCAATGAAGAGACTAGATAATGCCTCTATTAAACGGTGGGTTAATTGTCTTATCTTCTTAAATTTTTTTACATATTAAAATTCTGGGTTGGGCTGTCATAAGGCAGCATTTCAGTATACCTGTATAATTTTGTAAGTCTTCATATTTGAACTTACATAGGTTGTCAATACATATGTTAGGTTAAGCTAGCTGCTTCTTAATTTACAAGATCAAGAAACTTAAGTTTTTCTGTTCCTTGCTATAGTTGTTTACAAAGTTGAAATGCGTCAACTCAATAGCTTTTAATTTTACTCCAGGAAGAATATGCTGCATTCTACATCAAAAAGTATGGTCTCAACACTGACCAGGCAGAAGCTCTAATGAGTGTTTCAAATCTATTCACAGGTGGAGGACATGTGCATCTTATCCATGGTGAGGACATGCATGTCAAAATATGCTTAATAAGACACAGAATAGAATTTTCCAACTCTACTGACTCTCAGAATAGTTAAATCTCATAGCCTACATAGCAGCACCTTGATAACATAGATTTTTTTTCTCTTTTTAATTTTATCTAAGTTAGTAGCTCTCAAGAGTGGCTGTCCTGGCTTTAAATCTAGTAGCCTATAAATTTTAATATTAAGCTTTAAATATGAAAAGATCTTTGATGTGTTTCTATATGTTATCTACATACAAACAACTGCATCTTGTTATACAAAAAAATTGAATAAAAAATTTAAAGATTATTCGACTCAGGAAGGGGGGTGGTGGATGGTGTGCCTTTTTTTTATAGATCTTTTTAGGGTGAAGTGACAGGTTTTTTATCGTCAAATGATCAATGTGGCCTTCATCTTGCTGACAGACTGCCCATAGCCTCTTCTTCCACAAGGAAAAATACTTTTTGTCTCCTCCCATCTAATGTTATCACAGCTCTTCCCATCTAATGTTCTTTCTTAAATCTTTTTTCCAAGCCAATAAATAGATTATGGAGTCCAGTTCTTTCCAGGAAATTGTTTGATACTCCTGTTGCCATTCCCCTTTTTCTTTAGCACTGGCCTCTTATGATCGCCTAGCTGTTATCATTAAAAACCATTGTATTGATCTCCCACTTAAAGCTGCCTTCTATCTATTCAAAAATCATGTCTTCACCTGACTGGTTGTCAAACATTGCCACCTGTCAGATGTGACTTAAGATTTTTACTTTTTTGGTCTGCAAAACTGAGATGGCTGGATTCATGAAATTTTCAGCATTCATAGAAAAGATTTTCCTAAAATATACCCAATTTCATTGCAATATCTGCAGAACTATTGACATTTTTAAACTTTAAAATGAGCAACATTTTTATTAAGCATCCTAATACTTCACATCCTTTTATCATTATGTTATGGTATTTGACTCAGGTGCCTTTGGTTCGGGTAAAAGTTCCACTGTGGCAGTGATAATTGAGTTTTTAGTCCAACTGTTTAAGGAGAGTGATCGCAGGTCTGTTCAACAAGGATGGAAGATCCTCATCTCTTCTGCTACCAATGTGGCTGTTGACAGGGTTTTGGAAGGGTAGGTTTACTAAAATGTGTTATATTATTTTTTAAAATTTGTATGCATATGATATAGGACACTGATGATCAGTTAATATCTACAGGATTTTATTGTACCACTAGCGTAGGCGCTGGTGGTACACATGGTACTAGTACCGACTCGCCTGTTCTGCCGGCTCCGTCGCCATTTCACTGTTACCGCTTCTCCTCCTAGACTACAAGAGCCTGCGTACCCATCACTAAGATTTAGGTCACCTATAATCTCAACTCGTTCCACGCAAAATTTAGGCTTCATTGGTGCTGGGGTCTAGGTGTGGCACTCATTGCAATGCACCCTTGTCCAAAATTGGCAAAATTAAATGTTAATTATCTACCATACTGAAGGAATTATGGGAAAATTTTCTACAGACGGCTTTCCAAAAGTCATATGTGTAGATTTCAAATATGCCCTTGGATTTGACCTTTGTTTCAAGGTCAAACAGGCCAAAATTTTCTAAAAAACGAATTTTTTTACAAAAAAAATTTTTTTGCGCTGATATTCAGAAACTACACAGACTTAATCTATAATATTATTGGTTGGTGTTACCCTTCAGGTCATCTTTCATCTCCGTAAGTTTGGGGTCAACAGTGCATTTTCACGGGAGTAGTGGCAATAAGATACTGAAACTGAAAACTGTCTCTAATTTGGGAACCGTTAATGCTAGAGACCTATTCTTTTTTGCATTTTGTAGAGCATGTCAAGCCCAACACTGGAAGTGGTCTCTGTTTTTCTGATTTCCATACAATTTACAAGTTATGCTGTATCAAAAAGTACATTGTGGTGGTGAAAGCAAAATGTGCAATACGGTAATATGTAATACATTTTGAAGCTCTGGAAAATATAACATAAAGCTTGGCGAGGCAGACAACCTCTGGTCTAAAATGACATTTTTTCATGAAATTTGAACATCTGAAACTTCTGAGCACCTCCCATTTCAAGAATTTCAACCAAAATGACCTTTTCTTTATTTCAATTAATTTTTTTTTTGTAGGAAATTTATGGCACATTATTGTAACTCCAAAATTGTAACATTTAGTCCCTTATATCTCCAAAACTGGCAGAGATAGGTCCATAGTTACTATTGAAGTTGAATAGGAAGTCATATATTGGCAATCTAACTGTGATAAAATTGACTTACGACCTACTTTTCACCATAAACTGAACTTTGCAACTTTTTTAATGTTCATACTTTGAAAACTGGCAAAGATACACCCATAGTTACTATTTAAATTGAATAGGAAGTCATTAAAGGCAATTTAACTGTGACCTTAAAATTGACCTTCGACCTACTTTTCACAATGAACTGAACTTTGCAACTTTTTTAATGTTTATACCTTCAAAACTGGCAAAGATACACCCATAGTTACTAAATTGAATAGGAAGTCATTAGAGGCAATTTAACTGTGACCTTAAAATTGACTTTTGACCTACTTTTCACCATGAACTGAACTTTGCAAATTTTCGTTCCCTTTTATCTCCAAAACTAACAGAGATAGGTCTATAGTTACTATTGAAGTTGAATAGGAAGTTATATACTGGCAATCTAAGTGTGACCTTGAAATTGACGTTTGGCCTACTTCTCATCATGAATTGAACTTTCAAATTTTCGTTCACTTTTATCTCCAAAACTGGCAGAGATAGGTCCATAGTTACTATTGAACTTGAATAGGAGGTCATATACTGGGAATCCAATTGTGACCTTGAAATTGACCTTTGACCTTCTTTTAATCATGAACTGAACTTTGCTTATTTCCTTCCCTTTTAACTCCAAAACTGGCAGAGATAGGTCCATAGATACTTTTGAAGTTGAATAGGAAGTCATATGCTGGTAATGTTACTGTTACCTTGAAATTGTCCTTTGACCTTTTTTTTTCATGATAAACTGCACTTTCCAAATTTTCTGATCTTTATATCTCCAAAACTGGCTAAGATATGCAAATAGTTACTATTAAACTTGAATAGGAAGCCATACACTGGCAATCTAACTGTGACCCTGAAATTAACCTCTGACCTAATTTTCAGCATGAACTGATCTTTGTAAATTTTCTATACCTTTTATCTCAAAAACCTGCAAAGATAAACCCCTGGCAATCTAACTTTGACCTTGAAATTGACCTTTGACCTACTTTTTTTATGATTAACTGCTTTTTGCATGTTTTCTGGCCTTTAAATCTCCAAAGTTGGCAAAGAAATGCCCATGTTTATTATTGAACTTGAATAGAAATTCATATACTGTGATATTGAAATTGACCTTTGACCTACTTTTTCACCATGAACTGAGCTTTGCACATTTTCTTGCCTCTCATATCTTCAAAACTAGCAAAGATGTGCCCCATTTTGCCCCTTTTTTTTCTCTTTTGTCAGCATATATGCAACACTGACAACATATTTCAAGGAAAACCAATAGGCCTATTTTGTCTAGAGAATCAGGAGTCATCAATGTTAGGAAAATGCAGGTCAATTTGAAAATCTGCTTATTGTACCATTTTTTACTATATTTTTTTGCATATTTTGAGAACTCTTGTTGATCGCATTTTATAGAGCTTGTCAAGCACAAGACTGGTGGTGGTGTCCCTTTTTTGGGGGGGTTTCCATACCATTGCGCTTACTCCAGCTGGTGGTACAATATCCGGAGGCGGTATCGCCTCTCTGATCCTCTAGTTTATTGGTCATATTGTAAGCAACTTCACATTTTTCTTATTTTAGATAGATATTAACCATATTTCAAAACTTAATCATATTTATTTATTTTTATATTTCAGACTGCTGGAACATGGATTTAAAGACTTTGTTCGAGTTGGAAGTGCTCCTGAAATTTCTAAACGAGTGTTGCCATACAGGTGTGTGACTTTTGGGCAATTTGATGCTTTTCAACCACAAGATTGGGACAGCTTTGTAGCTAAAACAAACATCAATAAAAACTTGAATGTGTATTGAACTATACCTGTCACTGTAATTGTACCACCAGCGTTAGCGCTGGCGGTACACATGGTTTTAGTCCCGTCCGGATTGTTCTGCCGGCTCCGCCGGACGGCTACCGTTACCGCTTCTCCTCCTAGACGGTAAGGGCCCCCGTACCCATCTCTTGGATTTAGGTCACCTATAATCTCAACTCGTTCCACGTAAAATTTGGGCTTTGTTGGTATTGGGGTCTAGGTTTGGCACTCATTGCAATGCACCCTTGTCCAAAATTGGCAAAATTAAATGCTAATTACCTACCATACCGAAAGAATTATGGGAAAAATTTCTATAGACGGCCGATCAAAAGTCATATGTGGAGATTTCAAATATGCCCTTGGATTTGACCTTTGACCTTTATTTGAAGGTCAAACGGGCTAAAATTTTCAAAAAAAAAGGGAACTTTTTGCAAAAAAAAAAATGTGCGCTGACATTCAAAAACTACACAGACCTAACCTATCATATTACTGGCAGGTGTTACCCTTCAGGTCATCTTTCATCTCCGTGAGTTTGGGGTCAATCGGTGCATTTTCATGGGAACAGCGGCCATTAGATGCTGAAAACTCTCTCTAATTCTGGAACCGTTAATGCTGGAGACCTCTTGTTTATTGCATTTGATAGAGCATGTCAAGCCCAACAGAGTATGGTGTCCGTTTTTTTGTTTTCCATACAGTTTACATGTTATGCTGTATCAAAAAGTACATTGTGTTGTTGAAAGTAAAATGTGCAATATGGTAATATGCAAAAATATTTGAATGTCTGGAAAAGATAACATAAGGCTTGGCGAGGCAGACAACATCTGGTCAAAAATGACATTATTTCATGACATTTGGAACTTCTGAGCACCTCCCATTTCAAGAATTTCAACCAAAATGACCTTTTCTTTATTTCAATTAATTTCTTCTGTAGGAAATTTATGGCAAATTATTGTAACTCAGAAATTGTAGCATTTAGACCCTTTGGGTCCGTTCACATGAAAAATCTAAAAATTTAAAAATCTATTGGGGGTATCTTGTGATCACGGTCTGTGCCCTGAATAACCCACGGCGTAATAACTGGCAGCGCGAGCCAGTCACTTCCAAAGCTGTAATTAATTCTCGGCTGTGCTCGTAGGAGATTCTGACACCTTGATGCATGAACTGAACTTTGCAATATTTAAGTCTCTTATATCTCCAAAACTAGCAGAGATAGGATAGGAGATTTTTTTTTTTTTTTTTTTTAACTTGTATAGAAAGTCATATACTGGCAATCTAAGTATGACCTTTAAATTGACCTTTGACCTACTTTTCACCATGAACTGAACTTTGCAAATTTTTCTTCCCTTTAATCTCAAAAACTGGCAGAGATACACCTATAGTTACTATTGAACTTGAATAGGAAGTCATATATTGGCAATCTAACTGTGACCCTAAAATTGACCTTTGATCTTGTTTTCACCATGAACTGAAACTGGCAGAGATACGCCCAAAGTTACTGTTGAACTTGAATAGGAAGTCATACACTGGCTATCTAACTGTGACTGTGAAATTGACCTTTGACCTACTTTTTATGATGAACTGCACTTTGCATGTTTTCTGGCCTTTAAATCTCCAACTTGGCAAAGAAATGCCCATGGTTACTATTGAACTTGAATAGGAAGTCATATACTGTGACATTTTAATTGACCTTTGACCTACTTTTTCACCATGAACTGAACTTTGCATATTTTCTTGCCTCTCATATCTTCAAAACTAGCAGAGATGTGCCCGTTGTTGCCTCTAGGTTTTCTTTTTTCAGCATATATGGACCACTGAGAACACATTGTCACCTGTTGTGCATGATTTAAATTCAGTATTGACTGACTGTGCTATTATAAACATTATTACCTCTGCCAAGGAGGTTATGTTTTCCCCCTGTTTGTCATCAACATAACTCAACAAGTTATGGACTGATTTTGATGAAATTTTTAGGAACTGTCAGAAGTGGGCCAAGGAAGAGATGCTTAGTTTTTGGTGGTGATCTGGATCAATAATCAAATATCAGTCATCAACATAGCTCAAAAAGCTATGGACCGATTTTGATGAAATTTTCAGGGTAGGTCAGAAATGGGTTAACTTAGAAGTGATTAGTTTTTGGTGGTGATCTGGATCAATAATCAATAATGAAAAATCAATCATCAACATAACTCAAAAAGTTATGGACCGATTTTATTGAAATTTTCAGGGTAGGTTAGAAATGGGATTTACTTAGAAGTGATTAGTTTTTGGTGGTGATCTGAATCAATAATCAATAATAACCAAAAATTGCTGCCTTGTTTCTGTTGGAAGACCATTAAAATGGAGGATGGATCAACATAGATTCTTTGGAATACTGTCAGAAAATATCTCTGGATCTGCTCCTGTTATTGACCATGTTACCTGTTGTGCATGATTAAAATTCAGTGTTGACTGACGGTGCTATTATAAGTATTATTTGTTATTGCATCAAAATTGACAAAATGACCTATTTTGCATCTTTATTTTCTGTTTTTTGTCTGTACATTTGACAGCTTTGCTGCCTTGTTCCATTTTCCTTCCAATGCATTTCACTGATGCCCAAAATGTCCAATCCATAAATCTCTGCCTGCTAGATGACTTGAGCCAAGTTTCCACACTGATACAGTGTACGTCACCCTGAGCTTCAGAGCTAACTTGACACTAACCTATTCACTGTAGCCTATCTCCATCGTGTCAAGTAACCTCTGACGAAAATAGTTTGACCTAGTTTATATAAGCCAATCGAATCCATGTTTCAAAATTTTTCACCAAAGTTTGGTGAAAACGCTGATTGGTTGATCGTCAATCGGCAATCCTCGGCTGATTCCGCAAGCTCCATACTAACAACATAGTTATTGTCGAGTGCGGAGACATCCGAGTAGTTCCGAGTGGTTCCGAGTGCATAACCGTACACAAAGAAAGCATGGAGTATATCGGAATTGAAACCAGAGCAGTATGATGCCCTGCATCATTATCTACTGAGAGACGATGTTATTTGCGTGCTGCCCACAGGTTACGGCAAGACCCTGATATTCAGCCTTATCTTTGATTGGTCCGGATTTGAACAAAGCGCGCTTTGACTCGTTCGCGTTCATTGGCTAGATCGTTTAATGAGTCATTGAGTGCGGGCTTTTAAATTTGATTGGCGGGCGGCGGAGGCAATCGAATCTGGTCAGAGGTTACTTGACACGATGGAGATAGGCTACAGTGAAAAGGTTAGTGTCAAGTTAGCTCTGAAGCTCAGGGTGCCTACGAGTGACTACGTAAATTAATGTGTTAAGTTATCTCTTGATTCTTTGCAAAATATGAGTAAATCGGAATTGAAACCATAGGGTCTAGCAGTTTGAGGCCCTGCATCATTATCTACTGAGAGACGATGTAATTTGCGTGCTGCCCACAGGTTACGGCAAGTCCCTGATATTCAGCCTTATCTTTGATTGGTCCGGATTTGAACAAAGCGCGCTTTGACTCGTTCGCGTTCATTGGCTAGATCGTTTAATGAGTCATTGAGTGCGGGCTTTTAAATTTGATTGGCGGGCGGCGGAGGCAATCGAATCTGGTCAGAGGTTACTTGACACGATGGAGATAGGCTACAGTGAAAAGGTTAGTGTCAAGTTAGCTCTGAAGCTCAGGGTGGTGTACGTACATTCCAGGTTCCAATTTTGGTCAAGGTTTTGACACTGAGAATCTGACTCGTCAGGCCACGAACTTCCTTTCAGCTTTGTTCCCTGGCCCTCATACTGCAATCCAAAGTTCCGCTGTCATCTTCCTTGCGCCGGTTATTAGTTGGTGTATTGTTTGCCGTTTCTGTAGCAGTTGAGTGTTTACGGGGTCGGGTTGCTGGCCCGATGCCCAACCCTCCTTTCTCAACCAGGCTTGGGACCAGCTATGGCAGAGTTAAACAGTAATGCCTGTCATGATATGGATATTTTTGTGTATTGTCTCAACTATCACAGTAATGCCTGTCATGATATGGATAATTTTGTTCGTTGTCTTAACTAACACGGTTATGCCTGTGGTAATCTGGACGTTTTTGTGTATTGTCTCAACTAACACAGTTACGCCTGTTGTGATCTTCTTGTGTATTGACTCACTGAACACAAAAATTCTGTGCTTGATCTGAATATTGCAGTGTACGTGCTACTGGTAGAAGGAAGGGAGAGTTAAGGAAGTTGGAACGGATGTTGAAAAGGGCCAAGAAACCTTCAGAGAAACAGTTAGTATTCTAATATAGATCATACTTTTATAATTGTAATATTTTTATATCCTGAATAAGTGTTATAATTTTTTATACTTTAATAAGGGAAACAATTTAAGTTGACATTTTTCCAAAAGAAGAAAAGTTTTTAGTTCTTAATGTTTGTTCATTTTATATCATGATGCAATTCATTTTCATATCAGATATCTCAAGGAGGCCATACAGAAACATGGAATAAACAGAAGGGTGATGTCTTTTTGTGTTCAAACTTTAAGCAAATGTTTAAGTGGAATTTTAAAGCAATCCAAGCCAGAATTTTGAATGCATTCTTAGTACATGAATTGCTTCTTGTTTAATTAATCTGAGGAAAATAAAAAATTGTAAAACATTTATTGACATATCAATGGCCTTAATCAAAATCACATAAAGAAAATTCTATTTACCATGCCTTGTCCAACCTCAGTAGTTAGCCATTTTGACACAGTTTGAAAATAATACAGGTCACAGCACAAGAGTCTGCAATATCCAGAAATCAAGTCATGAAAATCTGTTCTTAAATGGATAACAACTTCTTTAGAAGTCCATATTTCACAATAATTGCCATAGGACCACATGACCTCCATAGATGGCTACCCTCTGTAATAATCTCTTAAGTGAAGTGCCCTTCCTGGCTTGGAAGGCTTTAAGTAATTAATTTTAGTCATCTTCTGGAATAAAACCCTCAGAAAAAGGTTACAACTACAAAAGTAGATGCTGTTATGTCTTCAACTATAAACTTATTTTATTTAATTGGTTAGATGTTTTTCATTTTACATGCAGAAATTACTTTTTGCACGGGTTGTTGGCGCTACCTGTGCCACATGTGGTGAATCTTCTTTGATGAAGGGCATGATCTTTCCTGTAAGTTGTTAGCTTCTTTTATTCTGTTTGTTTATACATCATCACCTGATTAATCACTTAATTTTAAACATTTCAAAGTTCTCCAAGAAAAAGTTTTTGATAATGATAGTAACTTCTTGAATGACATGTTAATGTTGCATCTTTAACTTAATATGATTGTATCACCTGGATTTTTTTATGAGTTTGTACTTATATTTTTGTCCAATTCATCATTTATTTGATGATTATGTTATTTAGATATTAATATTGGATGAAGCCAGTCAACTGACAGAGCCAGCTGCACTGATTCCAATGAAGTTTGGTTGTGAAAAATCACTTATGGTTGGAGATACAAAAGTAAGAAGCCTTGACCTTGAATTTTATTGTCAGATAAATTTCAATTTTTTTTTTTTTTTTTTTTTTTTTGTAGACATTGTATTGGCTGTATGAATTCTAAACATTTTTGTATGCATGTGTGTGTGTTATTACCCATCCTGTCCAACTCATCTGTTGTTCACCATGTAACTACCGATATATAAACTATTATTGTTTACTTTAATTTTTTTAGTGGCCCTGTTTGGTGAAAAGGCAGTTTCCTTTTGAAAACTAGAGTGATTTCTTCTACTTGGTGTATATTTGCCAGCTTTCCTGTCTAGTTTCACTTAACATTTGCTGAGAAACTTTCTACAACACTTTTCACCCCTGTAACTTATTGTATTACTGATTCTGAAATAGGAGAAGTGGAAGTAAAATACAACGGGACTAAACGATATTCACATCACACCAGCTCATTTTCACAGAAATGCCAGACTTTTCACTGTAGCAAGTGGACTTTGTAATAGTGGTCAAAAGTACACATTGTCCACACTTTCATCAGACCCCTGTTTCACAAGAATAAAAAAAAAACTGTAATTGAATATGTTAGCTACATAACTTACTCTGGCCAACTATCAGTGTTTCACAAAAAATCTTAAATTCTATAGTTGTCGACTGTGCTCACATGCTTGATAAACTCTTAAAAAATAATGGTTGGAAAAATTTGGAAACTAAAGATATGTTATTTCATCGTGTCTTTTGGCCCGCAAGTGATCATTAACTGACAGTAAAATTGGTAAAAACATAAGCAAAGCATGTTTTTGGACTTCATTGATTACTGTAATAGTTTAACTATGAAACAGTTCATTTTAAGATCAAAATAACATTAAAACATTGGCTTGCCTGTGAAGGCTGCCATCAAACATTTAGTGGTCAAAAAGTGTAAGCAAATGAAGAAAAAGGCCATAAACTCTTATTCACTTTAATTCCTCGTCGAGATTCACCCTTGGTATCGTCCATACTGCTTTCTGGCTCAAACAAATAGCCTTCATTGGGTTCTCTATTCATTATAAAGCAGATAAAATGCTTGTTGTAACTCTGGAGCACGGCTCCTTCCCCTCAATCAACCTAAAATCTTCACACGCTGCCTCTGTTTACATCACTCAATAGCTTACTTGATTGCTGTGCCACCACATGGGCATATCTTGAACTTGATTCGCATCCATAAAAAAACTGTTCCAACTAATAAAATATTAACTTTTTTTTATAATTGATCAATAATGACTTCTGGGCACAAAAATGATAATTTTAGACCTTTGTTTCATCTCAAGATTCCTTTAATGCTTCAGCTACTCCACTTACACAAAATCTTGTGACAGTGTTAAAAATCCCAATTGCCAAGAGAGTTTCTGTATGCTAGCATACATGAGTACATCAATCTTGACCATTTCACTAGTTTGTATGAATATTTCAGTGAACTTGGCTGCTGTTCTATAATACCTCTGTATGTTTTAGCAACTAAACCCCATAATTCAAGGATCAGCAGCCAGCAACGAAAATGGACTAGAACAGACTATGTTTGACAGGCTCATGGCTATGGTAAGCTACACCTATGTATTAAGTAGTCCTAGGGCTTGTCCTCACCAGGAGATTTAACCAATCAATTCTCAAAGCAATTCTTATTTTTTTAGACTAAAAAAATTCTGAAAAGTGAGTAGTTTTCAAGATAAGCACCATTGTGAGTAAGAACTCAAAAATTAGAAACTGTGATTAAATATATTGGAATAAGGATTAAATGTGTTCAAATTTTTGGGAAAAATTACCAAAGCAGCTATTCTTTCTTTCAGGGTCATGAGCTTACAACGCTGCGTACACAGTATAGATGTCATCCAAGGATAAGTGCCATGGCCAGTACCTTGTTCTATGGTGGGTTGTTGAAGGATGGAGTATCTGAAAAAGACAGGGAACCTTTAATGGTAATCTCATATCACTTGGAGGCTGACCTCTCAGTTATGACCACAAAAAACGGAGATAAGACCATGCAGTCACCAAGAGCCTTTAATAGATACCGTTATCTAACAGACTGCTCCTTTTGGAACACATATACAAAGTAGTAATTTACCAGTGGTGATTCTTGCTGGTCAGTGATATACCAGTGCAGTTTTAGCTTCAAAAGGGTATTGATTGCATCCCTTCATGATCTTTTATATTCCTTTCATTATTCTATTTAAATTAATAAGCAAAGTGTGTAAGTACGTGGATCCCTGATAGTAGCCTGTGTTCCATGTACAGTTAAAAAGTTTTTGTTTAAAACTCATGAAGGTGATGTTTCCAAAATGTCTGCTTTCAAAATTTTGATTAGTGCATGCAATATTATACAATAGCTGTTTTTCATTGTTTTGTCTAAATACAGTATTTTTTCACATGATCAAAAGTGATTTTTTTCCCAAATATTTTCAGAATGCTCAACTAATAACTATCTTCAGCATTTCAGAAATGTTTAATTTGTTATTATTAATCTGGATTATAATGTATTGTGTCTAAAATTGTGTATGTATTCCAGAAATCCTGTCCACCTCTGTGCTTCATTGATGTCTCGAAAGGTCAGGAAGCTTGGAACAGACTGGGCAGCATTTATAACAAGGAGGAGGCGGCCTTTGTTGCATCTCTTCTTAAGAAGCTGCTGTCTGAGGGCTTGAAGCCAGCACAAATTGGGGTTATTACACCTTTCAGGTCTCAGGTTGCTAAAATTAATAAGGAGATTTTGTTGGCTAGCAGGTAAGGGAGGAGCATATTGGTATTGAAATGACAGTCATATGTTATACATGTAATAAATATATCTTCACAAGCAAAATCTGTACTTTTTGTTAGTGATAAACATTTTCATGTATGGCCTCTGTTCCCCATTTATACTCTCACCCTAATACAAATAATGTTAAGAAAATTTCTTAATGTTGTATCAAAATTCAATTCAAAATCACAATTTCAGGTTTTTGTAATAAAGAGATGTAAAATGTTCTTGACCAGGCGGGACACACTCTATGTTTCAGTGTTAATGAGCCCAGTAAAATCAGTGCTGTCCAGATTTCCACAGTGGATGCTTTTCAAGGAGGAGAGAAGGATGTCATCATTCTATCCTTTGTGAAAACTAACAACACAGCATTCATTGATTGCAAAAAGTAAGTCACTATTAGCTACTATGATACCAAAAATACCTATGGAGGATAGGCACTGTCAACTCCGCAGTTGTAATATAGAATATTTCTATTCGAATGCCCTACTCTGTTTCTGTTGCTGTTTCCAGGAGAACCAATGTTGCCTTGACCAGAGCTAAGCACCATCTGCTGCTTGTAGGACAAAAGCAGAATCTGGAAAGAAACCCAATGTTTAAGGAGGTCATCTTTTATTGTGGAAGTAAGCATGCATGTGTGGTGCTTAATGCAGAGAGAGGGTATTGGCAATATTAGTAATTAAATTTCTTCCAAAAATAAAGTCATTCAGAAGTAGTATAACTATGCTGGTAAAGTGCCAAATATGTCCAACATATGTAATGCTTTTTGGTTTACATTTCATGAAAGGGGTTGAGCTCCCAAGACGGAGGTACAGTAGGTTGAGTAGATTAGTGGCATGTCTCTTTAAAACAAAGTATGCTTTAAGTAATGTGTGCATAGAGTAACTACATATCTTGGTCTAATGCTCCCATAATATAGTACAGCTGCTGACGGAGTTTACTCAGCCCCAATTTGGTGAGTCCTTGAAGGCATTCTAAAACTGGGCATTAGTATAAACTACTGGTAAGCACCAGTGCTATATTTTATGGGCACCTATAAGAGAAAGAAAGTCAAGATATGTAGTAACTCCATGCATATATTATTTTTAGTGCAAAAGAGACAAAATGACAAAGATATTAATCGATTATCAATCTACTTACATATTTCTGCCTTAGAAGCTTAACCCCCTTGTTCAGATCGATGACATAATATAATTATTTGATGTTAACCTCAGGTGATGTTGTAAATGCCTCACAATTTATGAGAACATTTCAACAACAAAAGACATCAGAGGCAGAGAAATCTCCATCACAGAAACAAGGCTTCTCATCTTGTGGTATGCAGCAAAGCGGACATACTGACAGTAGCAAAAGTCTTATCTTGAAAGCAGAACAACAGTCACCATCAAATGTTTACAGTGAAAATATCACAGACAAAGGGCCCCAAGGTAAAGGAAAGCCTTCTGGAAAAAATTGTACAAAATAACTCGATATCTAAGCCCTTGGACAGGGAAAAACAGGAAATGGAAATGAATGCATGTTAAATTCTGAGAAAAAAAATAAGAAAAATAGATAGTATATGCAGTGTATTTTGTTCTTTCTTATTTTTAGGGACATTTTTGCCAGTTGTCCAAGCCTGGTGTGACACTCACAGTGTGAGTATGAATTTGCAAAGCAAATATTGAAGGGTGGGTGTGGCTATATTTGAAGATCTGGTATGCATCCTCCCAAATACTCCATCACAACTAATATTTGAGCCTTTTTTGTCTTGTACCCCTAATTCCATTCTATTCTCACAGAAAGAATCATTTGAAAGGTACAGTATTTCTTCTCTTCTCAGTATATACACCATTTTTCTTGTTATTATGCTAAACATTAAATTTTTCTTTTTCAGCCTGGTGATGGAGCATTTAAAGAGCCACCTTGCCATGTTCCCATGAGGTCACTTACAAGGCCCCGTATAATAGATGAGAACATATTAAGTGACAGTGACACAGAATCCTCAGACAATGAAGACCTACCAGCATTTTGAGACATTTGTTAACTGTCCGTATTGGTACCAATACCAAGGTGGTCAGCACTGAGGAATGTGAATTTGAAGTGAGGGAAAAGGCCGTGGATTTCAGCCTTTTGTTCTTTGTTTATCTTGTGATTTATTAAATTCATCAACAACGTACCAGCCAATGAGCATCATCTTTCTTAGGATGAAAGATTCATTTTGTGTGACAATACCAACTTCAGGAGCCGATTTCTCAGTATAGGCTTAAAGTGTGCAGGTGGTTCACTTAAAGCAGCAAACAAGTAACAATGACCAATTTACATTGCCAGTAGCATCGGGAAACCAGATTCAACACACAACTTAGTTTTTGTCACATGACCTAGATATCATTTTAGGTCATGGTCTTGACATTGATTTAGCCCATGGCCTTGACCTCCACATTCTATTTAACTGCACTGATCCAGTTTGGAACCACAGGAACTGGGTATGCAATCTTACTACTTGCTTGATCTGTCTGCTCAACATGTCACACAATAGCCTCACTGGGACGCAGGTGCACCACATAGCACTTTGACATAAAATTTTGTTTCTAGAAATTGGTAAAGATGGTTTGTTTACACAACAGACTTTGTGCTTCAAAGAAAGGAAAAATTAACGCTTTTATTTCTAATCAAAATTCCTCAATAACACTTACTGTGATTAAAAACTATATGCACATACATACCATTATTTATAAATAAGAGACATACTGTGCTGATAATTTACCAAAACTGTTTACATGTTGATTATGAATCGTTTGTCTAAAGTAAGATTGACTTCTCTTAATTATATACTGCTTTCTTACTGTGTTGCATATTGATAGTTAAGTTAAAGGTAGACTTAAGTAAAATTGCATGATGTACAAGTAGAACTAATTTACAAAACGCAGGTATTTTTGCCATAGCCAATTATTTTTTAAGTTTGTTATCTGTTTGTTAAAGTAATAAATTGTTTAAAAGCACCCAATTATTTGCACTTGTCTGAGACTTTTAGAGACCATTCCCAGAGATATCATACTTACCTTGGATTGATCTATCTCCATGACTTAAGTGGCTTAAATGTCTGTCACACCTACTAAAGCTGTTTGGGGGTAATTAACTACTAACTTGAATAAGTTGTCCGTATTCTATATAGCTGGCAGTTGCCCCCAGAAAAATAAGTCTCTTTGGTGAACCCTATAAAGTTTTAACCTTTCCTTCACTCCAATTATTATTTATATCATTTATTTGTTAAGTTTTCCAAAGTCGTGAGGTAGACCTATAATAAAATAATAATTGAAGATTTCTTAAACACAAATAGAGAATAGGGGGAAATTCTTTTAAAATAAGAGAAACATCGATAATTGTCAAACTTATTGGTCACCAATGGTGTGGCATTCAATGTACCATAGTGTCATGTTTAATACATATGTAGCCAGCTTGGAATGCTGTTAATTTATTATATTATTCATTTCAAAGAAGAGGTCAAATAACATTGACTAGGATATACCATTATTACATATCTCAAATTTGCACTCGCAACTTGCTATCATGTAACACATATTATCAATGATAAATAGGAATAACAAATAAGAAACCAAATTTTGAGAACTCGTGGAAAGTATTAATTATTTGTGGCCTGTAAGGTAGTCCGCATACATCATGTATCTCAGTCTTCAACCTGGTTTTCAGTTGGGCAGATTTTTTAAATTCCCTCTCAGACAATAAATTGAAAGAAAACAAGTCAGTTAAAGTTGATGAACAGACAACTTTTAATGATGTAAACAAGGAAGAGTGACAAAATGATACAACAATACACAGGTTTTGGGCCCTAACATTCATCTCCAAACTTTTACTGCAAAAGCAGGACCAAAATCATAAAAAGTATTAAAACAAAGCTACCCTTGGTCGCCTCCCCCTATCTGAAGAGCACCTAAAACCATCTGTAAAGTAAATAATTCCATGTACAGTGCCAAAATTTAATGACAATAATAACAAAACACTGCCTGGCAAATAAATTCAAAATATGGTTCGTAATGTTAAAAGACAGCACTACAAGGTAGCTTATTTCTCACCCTGAAAACCATTCTTAAAACTGTACTTACTAATTTTCAACGGAAGATTTTCAGTAAGGAAAAAATTTGTATTTGCAGGAGGCCACCCCATTATTTCGGGCTATATGAATGACGAACAAAATGTGTTTTTGCTCCATCCCACCTTGTTTTAAGTAAACCCTAAAAAAATTTATAGTATTGTTCACATGAAACTTGATTCTGTAGGTCTTGTTGTGTCTTTTCATTAAGACAAGGTGTGTGAGGGAGGAGAGCTTTTTTTCTCTAAAGAATAAGAGGAGCTAGGGCCAGTTCTACTAAGTAAATAACTTTTAGACCAAAATTTGGTTTATTTTAGTTCATTAATTTATATTTAAAATAAAATTCTAAAAAAAGTATGATCAAAAACCACGAATTTGTTGCCCTTGTTCTGACATTTATAATGCTTTCCAAAGGAAATCTTGCCTAAATACTTGTAAAAATCACACTGTACACATGAGCAAATTTCAAATGCCATACATAAAATAAAGAAAAATAATGCTTTATTGAGACAGACAATCTGAGTCATGGTAAAATCCTTAAACAATTATTTGACAATAGTCTGAGGAAAAAATACAACTGAATCATACATATATTGTTCAGTTTAATCACTTAACAAAAATCAATAGAAAATAAAATAATGTTTTATAACAATCTATTAGACTTTGAAAAGCCCATTTTAAAATCAAATAAAGTTAAATGGATAGTTCAGGAAATTTTCAAGTAAAAAACTCAAAATCATTGAAGAAAAAAAGGAAAAGGGTGTGATAATTGCACTAGTCTTATGAAACTGTGACAAAGTTGACAGGGCAACAAAGATATTGCGTCATTTTGCAGCAACACTAACATTAACCCTAACACTACTAACTGTCATGGATTTAATGTCATAAAGTAATACAAAGCATGCTGAATGATATTCATAAAATATTGATACCTACTTTTTTGGGCTTAAGTTAACACTTTCGTTTCTATCTCACCTGGATGTGATGACTGCTTGATCACAAAGTATGGATATAATTTTCATGAATATTCCTCAATGCAACTATTTACAGGTCCAACGAAAGTACTTTCCCAACTATAAAGTAGCTCTACAAAGTACAAACAGGTATTGGACCAATTGTTGATACAAAAATTAAACCATTTATGGGGAATGAACAGACTCTGTCCATACACGTACCATATATGTATATAATAACATGATTATGAACATGATTGCACGGCTTGTTTTAGCACCACTGGGCAATATCAATTGATGGGGTAAACTAAGGGCTGGTTTTGATAAAGAACTTTTCACTGAATTTATTAGATCTTTTTTTGGTCTACTTTAATTTTTTCAAATAGGTATAATATTTCATCTTAAAATAGGGCTATAAGCAATTTATTGTGGCCAAAAACTTTGGTTTGAAAGTTAAATCCAATGAGTTGTCCAAAGTTCTTTTGTAAAATGGGCCCTAGGAGTACCAATGATATTATAAACATATTTATAAGTTAACTATATATATATATGAAATAAAATAAATAAAACAACAGACACACTTAAAGCTATAACCTATGTTGTAAATAATGATATAAATTGACTGTTGGTAGAAATAATATTCTGACCATGTGTAGAAAAAATAATCCTATCCCATCATTCACTAAATATTGGATTTAAGTTATCATAAATGCACATCCATAGCAAAGAGACATCTTCAAGCATATATAGTAATTAACTACCCACTACCTTACACCAAGAACCATAGCCGTGTCATGAGAAGCATGACCTTCAATTTGGAATCATTAACAATAAATACTTTACATGAAAAATAAATAAATATACAATACTGGCCTTATTTTCTTTCAGCCAGCAGTCATTTATATGATCAGATATGAGCTCTGTTGTTGTTCTTTATTGTTCTATTTAAAGAACCAAGCGAGCAACCCTGCTAGGTTAAAGTCTCTTTATGAAAACTTTATAATTATTTGACCACAGAGCATCTCCTTTCGACTTAGACTTGACAAAAAATGACTCTAATGATAAAGAGTTCACTTTTGATGCAGGTCTCAGAAAAACACTAATAATCACTGAGCATTTCCACCACAAATTAAGTCTTTTTTCTTCTTTTTACATCCTTTGTCATCTCAGACACAAAGCACAGTTTCGTGTAAACAATTTCATATTTTTTTAGTCATTCCTTGTAGTCAACCATAGGTATTTTCCACTTCTGAAAACCAATCCAACCTTGTTGGTGTGTAAAAGTTCTTTCATGGTGTAGAAATGGTGTAGAAATTACTGGTATTAAACCAATGTCTGGTGTGTAAAAGCTTCAGACAGCTTATTGTTGGTGTACTGAGGTACAATGTAGATCAAAATAAACTATTCAAAACAATGCCTTCAATTTGGAAGTTTTCCCCTTGCCTTTTGCATATCCAGAATGTCCCAAACAACTGTTCCTTGTGAATCAAACAAGCAGGTATACAAATCACCAAGTTGACTGACATACTTTTGGCTGTATGTTTGCTCCACTGGTTCATCACAGTTAAATATTCAGGTTTGGAATTTAAAGAAATGAGTATAGTACATGTAGGTAGGTATAAGTATAAGAACCTTAAATTAAAAAAAAAATCCAGCAGAACTTACCACAAGTCCCATTGGTTTTATTAAGACAATGTTCATTGCTTTTACATGCTGTGTTTCACTGACGTCACTGCTTCAAATACATGAACACAAGATTGATTGTTTGACCACATGCTAACTACTCTTCATGTTATCTTATTCAAAAAATCCCTGTGAACAGTCTTGGTGACCAACTGTTTTCAGACCTCGGTGTCTCTTTGCATGTGCAATGTGTCCATCTGATCCAGAATAAAAGTAATGGTGTGCTGGCGTATCAGTCCTATGTGGGACTTGAGAGTTGTTATTTGATCACTCTGGTTTTCCAGTTTCGCTTTTAAGGATTTGTTCTCTGCCAGGAGCTTGTCTCTGGTCTGGATAGAGAAAAAGACTTCAGGCAATAAATTCATCTATCTGTTCACAATAATTGTGAAACTATAGGAATTATTGACATATAATAAGAATATCCTTAGGCATAAAATTTGCTTGAGTACAAGTGCTAATGTTAAAAACATGTTACAGAGATTTTCTGCAACTTTATATACTGACTGTTTTGAACCTTCCCTATCAAGATTTTATGCAAACCTCCTAACTATCACATTTTTGTTTTACAAAAATTGAACCAAACACATTTCAAAGATACAGTTTAAAAGGTGCTTTCACTGATGTTATTGGGCATAGTGACATTTCCTGAATGGGGGGGATATAGAAAAAAAGAAGCTCTGTCTTTCCATAAGGTTTCATTGTCAAGAACAGAAAAGAACCAAAATATATTTCCTTCTCATGTGTCCCTTAACTTTTTTCAATGATCTCACAATTAAAATGGCTAGGGAACATCTGTAATAGTAACACAAACAAGATGAATTTATTTATCACAATAATTGGTACAGAAAAAAATCTTTGTTATGCATATATATATATATATATATATATATATATATATATATATATATATATATATTTTTTTTTTTTTTTTTTTTGATAAATGCACTAAAAAATTAAAACTTCTTGCTATGAGCATGGATTTATAAATTTACATTAAACATGTTTCTTTAATGATTTATTAAATGTTGGATATGCACATTATAATGTAAATAACTTTAAACTATATTTACAGAGAATAAAGCCATCAATTTTAATGCTGTTGACATGATGCCAAGAAACCAAAAAAAAAATAACATAAGTGAATTAGATTTCTAAAAATTTTCTTGGAGCACCAATTAACCTTATTTCATAATGTTCCATTTGTCATGAAAAACAAACCTTATTTCATAATGTTCCATTTGTCATGAAAAACAATCTCTGTAACCTAAAACCAACTAAAGAACTTCACTCTCATTTTTTTAGGCATAGTGAGGTCAAGGAAAATATTCAACTTGTACAATTATTCAGTTATGGACCAGATGTATTATTATGCTACCGGTACATCCAAATCAGTCACAGACCATTCAAACTCACCTCCTCTGCTTCAACCAGTCTTTCATACAGGGATGTTGGATCCTCGTAAAACTCTTCATTATTGATACCATTCACTTCTTCCATGCTATTCTTTGGGCTCAGGTCTGCACATTCCTCTGTCTGAGTGGACTGGTGCTTGGCGCGCCACCGGTGGGACATCTTTCGCTTGGAAGTAGTGGTGAGATCATAGGCTTTTGGACCTGCCAATAATGGGGCAGTGCAATAAGTTTATTAACGTGGTGTCCATAGTTTGGATCACAATTACAATTTGATCACCTCTAGCTTTAAAAGCACTCTTGAAATACAAGGTGTTAGATATGATGAAATGCAATAGATGACTCAGCTGCACTGATGGAGAAATTACGTAAGTCGATAAAATTCCATCAGAGGACAAGGTTATCAAAGTCAATGTACTGTTTATTTGGACCTACTACCAATACCACAACTTAATAGTAGACTACTGACAATAGTAGACTATGGTAGTGACAGAGTCCATTATCAATACAAACTGCTTAATCTACTTTCACAACATACTATATGTACATTATAGTAATACAGATAACTGTCAAGAGTGTCCCTAATTGAATTACCCATATTTCATGGTGTACTTAGCACTCTGTACATCACTATAATCTAATAGTAAACTGTGTCCCAAATTGAATCACCAATATCTAGCATATTCCCCAGCTTGTGAAAATTAGCAGTGCTCGTGAAAGACTTACTGCTCGTTCCGTGGCCATTTCCACTGCTGAGAGAGCTGCTTCGACTACTGCTCCCCATGTGCTGCTTGCCTCTACACTCCATCACAACCAAGTCTTTACAGTGTTTGTGGGCATTGATACCGCAATCTATAAATAAAATTTTTAATCTATTGAGCTCTTTCCATCTATTAATCAATAAAAATGGCATTGCAAAAAAAAAAAAAAAAAGCAAATCTTTTTTAAAGGGACTAAAGATGTTTTTACGTAGGAGGCATGATGCTTGCACCATTCATCAACACATTTAGTATCTTTGAAAAAATATTTACTTTTTTTACCATCTTTCCATAATAAAATAAAAGGCAATGAAAAACCTACTTCACCAAAACAATTTGTTGGGTAGCAAAGAGGCCCTGGCCTGTGCAACTAAGCAGTTTGATCAGCAAATAGATAGATAATACAGATACTAAACCACATTTTCTGATTAATATTCAACATACATTTTAGCCCGACAAAGCTTTATAAATCAGGCCTTCCCACAGTTAAATAGTACACAATAATTCTTAATATAACCTAATCATGATCACTCTATCAAATTTTTGGCCTAAATGTAAAATTTTGATGAAATAAAACAATAACTAAATGTTCTGCATTCAAAAATGCTTCTTTAGTCAAGGTTACACATATTTATCATTTAGCAAAAACCAGTGCATTATTACAAGATTAGTACGTTAATTATATTAACTATTTATGTTAACAGATTGCTTACCTTTACACTTCCAACCTTGCTTTATTAGACCCCACAACTGTAAAATAAGATTATTGAAATTAAATAATGCAGTCTGTCAGCAGTCTTATCCAGATTTTCACTTGGCCATAATTGCTCTCAAGGTGTTAGTATGCTAAAATTCTAGTCCCAAAATTGACTTAGGACTTTCTGTGAAATAGGTTCTAATTTGACTTTTTGTGGTCTACGTAAACCTCCAATGCAAATATCAATAATACCATGGTTATCAGCACATGACAAGATAAACTTCAAATCCACAAATTTTTTCCTGACAAGAATAAGTGAAAACTCCTAAATGATTGAAAACATATCTAGCTTAATAAATTAAATATTGAATATATTTCTTAAATATAACCAGCATCTACATGGAATCATTACTATATAGAAAATACTTAATGACAATATACTTTGACAACTTTTTTGAAGGAAATCAAAAGAAATTCAATTTCACAAAAATTAACAATTAATATAATCCCTGACAAACAACAAACAAACAAAGAAATACAACTTGTATCTATTGGTATGAACTTTTCATAACTGCACCTCAAGCATATTAATCTATAACAAAAATTCTTACCACTGTCAAGCACTGAAATCAAAATCCCAAACTTAAGTAAACCACTATGCCTACACCTATTCATCATTTTCTCTTCAACCTACCTCAGTCAAGCCTTGTTACAATATTCTGAATTTTTTTTTTAAATCCAATTCTCTTTTCTTTTACATCATAAACTTCGCATTACCTGGCATGCCAGAGAACTGGCCATATCGTCTATTCCTCTCTTCTGTTAATCTCGAAGGTACCCTTTTAGTACTTGTATCATGTATTCATGCCAGCACTGTACTGGTCAATGATCACAGCCCTGAGCTACTTTAACAATGCATCTAAGATACAATTCACATAGGCCAGCATTTACAGCATATGTGTTTCAGTTTTAAGCATCTGTCACAAAGCTCATTTTTCCAGGCTCTCTGTTTGCTATAACAACTGATTGCAATCTGTCTCAGGTTGACTACTTTGCCACATGCTATGGAATCTGTGATGAGTACATATAAGATTCATCAACTCCTTCACGGTTTAAACGTAGATGCATGGTTAAACTAATTTATAGAACTTGATTGAGCCATGTGTGTGGGACTTAACATACAGCGACCAATAACCTCCAGTCCTCTTGAAAAGTATGTAACCAACCAGTACAGATGTGGTATGCTCCAGGAAGGATTATATCACATACCTAATCAGAACTCCAGTGCACCTTGATATCTGCTTAAAATATTGACTATTTTTACCAGGCACTTATAACAAGACTGTCAGATTATAAACTACAGCAAAATGAAGTGAAGGCGACCACAAGTATATAATATGTTATGATGGTATTTTGGCCTACTTTACACAGAAAAAGCATTTGTAGTGACTGGATTTTTTCTTTACACAGAAAAAATAACACATCTAGTGGCTGTTGTTGTCTGAGTGTATTCTAATTGCCATCAGTCCAGAGACCGTGAATATTATTCTGGTAATCAGCATCCAAGTTAGCAAGGTCAAAAATTTAAGAAAAGTGAGTGCCAGTTATTAGGCTTCATATGTGCACATATATACACGCACCCTCATGATTGCCTGCATACAAGAAGGAAAATGCATGCACACACACACACACCCACACACACATACACACACACACACACACACAGGCGTGGAGACATACTCACCAAACCTGTGCAGTGTACACAGTATGTTGGCTTGAAGTAGGTTGTTTCATGGAAGGCATGCTTAAAACTGTTCCGTAGGGCATGGCAGTTGGCACGGACAAAGTAGGTTTTCATCTCAGCCTTACTGATCATTCCATCTCTAAAAAATACAGCAAAGATATTATTTTTTTTTTCTGTGTACTTCTTCTATATCACAGTCTTCTGTTTCAAAAAGAGCTAGTCTCAATAGAAATGCATTATGAACTTACAAGTTTTACATACCTTTTCAATCTCGAGAATGAAAATTGTTGCCCTTAATAAGCTCAAAAATAGCTTTTCCAAGAATTCATAAACAATGCTTTTAAGATTGTGATCAAAACAATAACAAAAAACGATTTTTCAAAAGAACAGTGCTAGATTCAAACAGTGTCTTTAGTTATATATTATCTAAACTACAGTTTTGCATTTAAGTTCTGTTCAAAATTGAAGTTCTGTTCAAAATATGATAAAAACTAAGCTAATAGTTTGACCTTTTGGGTGATTTGATTGTTTGAACCAAAGTAGTTTTTGTCTAAATGGCAATACTTTTTGCTTTGAAAAAAACTTTACATCAAATCAAAAAAATGTTTTTAAAAATTTTAAATTGACAAGAAAAAAGTTAAGTATGATATATAACTAAATCTGAAGGTAATCTGACAACAGAGAAATTACCTTTGGTGCAATCTTTGTTTAGGTTATATATCTAAAACATGTTGATTGTCCAAAACATTTTACAATATTGGCAATTTAAAAAATGTAAAATGGATCTTATAACCCTATTGACAATTCTGCATAAGAATAAAGAGTAAATTTTGAGCAAATAAATCAAATAAAATCATTGGTTCATATATTATTTGGTTGACCTAAAACAGTTTGGGTCTGAACCAGTTTGGGACTTAATGGCAAGATGACCAAAACCACTGCCTGAGCAATGTTGGTGGAGAGTTCAATAACTGCATGAGTAAATGAAGAAGTATTTAACATGCAACCTCAGGCACAATAATCTGCTAGCCAGCTTAATACTGCACTCACTGGTCAGCATCCAAGACACAAAAAGAATCAATAAATGGAAAATTGCCAGCAATATCTTCAAATTCCGCATGTGAAATGAACCCATCTCTGTCCAGGTCGTAGTTTTTGAACACGGCCTCCACCATGTCGTTGACATGTTTGTTGATAAGTACGGGATCGGGAGGACTGATGCCTGCGACCCAGTCTGCGAACACAACTGGTTTGGTTGGAGTCGGGGGCTGGAATCATGAAAAGCATTCCTTATTTGAAAATATTCTTCAGTAAATTTTTTGTTGGTATTAGACACTGTAATTGTAAAATTATGCCCAATTAAAAAAGCTTTTCTGATAAACAATTTCATAATACATAACTACTATTCACACACACACACACACACACACACACACACACACACACACACACACACACACACACACACACACCTCAGTCTATATCACTTTTCTGAACTCTACAAAACAACATATTAATCTTAGCCAAAGTCAATAACTGTATAATGGCATGAAAATATCACTAATCAAATGAAAATTATAAGGCAAAAAATTGTAAGCTGGCAGGTTAAAGCAAAGATCATACATAGTGGTGCCAGCTTCATAAACTACATGTACTTACTGAAGACAGTGAATTTCTTGGTTCCCTGGCAAGAGACAGCTCATATATATCATCATCTGTATAATTCAGATCTAGAGAGCACTGGAATTTCAAAAAGCATGTATCAGAGATGCCAGCAAATTTTTTCCTCAAAGGTTTCCTTTCCATCACACAGTTTGAAGTGCACTGAAGTTTTGCCTACGTACAAAGTTAAATATAATCTAAATTATGTAACTACTGCAGCAGCTGGTCTGATAATGCCAAAAATCATTTCATTTCATTTCAAATTTAAATATGCCATCAGTCAATACCATAGAGAGTTTATGTCAATCTCAGTATGTATGTTTTGAATGCTAAAACATATTTTATTGTCGTACGCCATTGTAGAAGTGATTTCTAACATGATATTATATCGTTTTTGGTCTACAACCGGTCACTTGCTCAAGTATAATAGAAATGTTTATGTCTGACATGCAGTGGGGTCTCTCTGTTCATGAACAGGGGCTCATAAACAAACTAATATTTTTATGCTTTTTGTCATAGAAAAAAATTGAACAATAACATTTCACAATAGTTAATAGAAATCCTGATGGCAACTTGTAAATGGCAATGTTCACCTACCCGGAGCATGTTAGCCAAATCTAAGTTGGTATCAAAAGGCAGTTGTTGTTGCTGCATACTTTGGAGATATGTCAACTCGGAGAAGATGGCCGCCAGCTGAGCCATTTTGCGGAAGTTAATGAGGTTGTCAACTCGGTCTGGGACTGCGGTATTTAGTGAAATGAGATCCTTCAAGTGAACACCCCTGGATTTCAAAGTAAAACATTACCTCTCAGGAAATGAGGATAGTTTCTGAGAAGTGCAGATGAGCTCTTTTTTTTTTTTTTTTTTGTAAATAATGTTACTTGTTGTCAAAAAGATAATACTCTCCAAGTGATAGTTCAGCAAATATCACATTAGTTTATAAATAAGAGGAGGTTCAGAGCCTAAGAAGTTCTATGTAGCATTTGAAATGACACAGCAAGCATTAGACCTCTATAGAGCAAAATCAATTTTCCTTGAGATTTCAATCCCTATTCTCAAATGTATAGCCCTTCACAGAATTAAGAATCATAAACCCTTTTTAAGTTCTGAATTTCTAGTTTTTCAGAAACTTTCTTAATGATAACAGAGACTGGTAATTAGAAATTTAGAGCTCAAAAACAGTTTATTCTATCATGATTTTTTCAACATCTTTGGATATGCTATACCTTTGTGATAAAGGGGAAAGTGCTGTATTTTCCAGGAAAATTAATTTTTTATGATGGTCTTATATACACTGTATGCCTTCAGTGGATATGTACATTGTGAATGTCTATGGAAAAGGACAATAAACATGCTGATATGGAGGAAAATCTTCTTTGGGCATTTAAGATCTAGATAGGAAATACATTTATTTACTCTGTGAGAGAAATAGCTAAAACTTACAATATGGGTATTCTAAATCCTTTACATTGATAAAGGGTTTTCCTGTAGTTACTGAAATTATTACTGGAGGACAGTAAATCTGTGTAGTCTCCTAAAAGCTGAAAGTGGAAAAAATATTAATCAGTGAACTTAAAATTTTTTTAAGTACAGTCTTTCAACATTTTTTTAAATTCAAGCCTCAAGTTTTATAGATCATTTGTTTAATCTAAAAACAATCTAGAATAGTACTCAGCGAGTGCAGGCCTTCACCATGATAGCTCCATTATCATTATTATTCATTATTTCATCAATAAACTAATAAATGGATTACTTCCAAAATCTAATCAATTCCCAGTTAGCCCATTTATGACCTATCCTGAAAAAAAATCATCAAAATCCATCCTTAACTATGAGTTCAACTGATTACTTATGAACAAAGGCAAAGACATAACCTTCTTGGAGGAGATTAAATTATATCTAATATTACAAAATTAATATAAGACAATTTCAAATATTTCCTAATGGTGACCTGCCAAGATGCTGATTTAAAAATATTTGATTTTTTTCTTAAGGTTGAATTTGTGCCCAGTCATTTATCATAAAGTTAAATGTGACTCATTTTGAAAAAAATACAAGCTGAAATGTTTTTTAAGCTTTGTTTGTCTTGCTTGCCTTGGAATAGTGCAAGACACAAGACATGCATATGTGCTAGAAATCTTATATCATTCAGATTAAATCATAAATAATAAAAAAAATTCTTTGCCAGTGTCAATCTAACGGACAAAACATGAAACAATACAAGCAGAAATGAACTTGCTTTTCTACAAAGCCATTCTTATTTTGTCAGCGTCATGCTTCACATTGTAGATGTAAAGCACAAATATTCCCAATCATCCCATTAGTACAACATGCATGACGTACCTTTTGAGTTTCTGGTATCAAGCAAGCGTTGGTCTTGGAGAGCCTTGCCAGAGCACTGTGGGTGAGACCACCTACAACAGCCATTAATGTATTGAAGTTCTGCAGCTCTCTTAATCTCTGAAATAACACAATTATAAAACATGTATAAATAAATAAAATTAGATTAAAAAAGGTAACATTTACATCTGTTTGTCCATGACATTGTACACTTACTAGTTCAGTTTTCTTTCTTTTCTTGCTTCTTTTAAAGATAATGCTTATAGTATAGTTACTCTTTCTAACAAAAATAACATTATATATAACATATATGTCTGGGCTGCAATTTATCCCAAACACACAGACACACAAAGTACTTTTTAATTCATACAAAAACGCAGATGGCACACTGATTACTAACTTTCAGTTTGCAAATTTTTTCTCTTCGCATTTAACATTCAGTCATATCAATCAAAGTAAAAAATAATAAAATAAAAAAGCACAAAAATGGATTTCTTTATCATGTCTCCAGTATATTCTAAAAGATTATGAAACAAAATTGTTCTGTTCTGTCTATATACAAATATTTCTTTTTCAAAGCCTTCTGCTCTGATGTAAATTTCACTACACACTTCAACCACATTAACTGATACATTTTTTCACTATTTCTAAATACGTAACTCAGAAATCCAACTCACCCTGGCTACATTGACATACTTCTGTATCACATGCCCCCTCTGTTCTGGAGTGGTTTTACTGAGAACCATACATTGAACCCATTGAGATAACCCATTGAAGAGAGCAATAGACCGCTCTAGCTTTGGATTGTCTTTCAGAGACGCCTGGACTGCATAGTTTTTAAAATCTGTGAACTGGAAATAACCAGTTAGCACATTCAATTTTCAGTTTTGATTGAATTATTTCATCTGAGCAACAGTTTTTTATTCATAATTTTTTATTCATGGATATTTGAGATTTGCCAATCTAAGGCACATGTAAACATGGCTTTGCAATTTATCATTTCTTCCATGAACCTTAAATTCCATTACTTATCAATCTCTGATACTTACTCCAAAGATTAGCATTAAAAAGTAGGTAAAGCTGAGCATAAAATAAAAAGAATATGCTGACTTAAATTGATAAATAACCCACATCACATGGTACTTAATAAGTACCATTGAAGTAGAACAAATAATAAAGACTAATAAATAAATAAAAGATCAAGCTATGAACCAGGGAAATCAGCAACTTACTGTGATTCTTCTAAATGCTTTATATTCTAAGAAAGTCAACTGCTCGGCTAATTCATTGGGCTGGAGGTGTTGGAAAACGAGAGAGACTTTTCTGGAATGTGAGCGCGTGCTGGGGTTTCGCACAGAGATAATTCTCATCCAGTCATAGGATGGCCTGATAAAAAATATAAATAAAAAAATCAGAATTAACATCTAGTGAGAACTCCCAACATGGTCATAGTAAGTGTGTTTGTAGGTGCATGCTTATATGTGTGCATGTGGCATGTATCCAATGAAAGTTTCTGTAGGTGAAAGTGACCTGCATATTTGGATATAACAATAGAAATACAATTTAAAATAGGAATATTTGCAATCATTAGGTATGTTCATGTATATCACAATAAACATATATTTTGTATTGCATCAGTCCCTTCTTATAACTTAGAATATTTGCAGTCATCCAATGTCTCATATACCATTGTTCAAGTGCATTTCTGGGGCCAGTTTCACAAAAGAACTTTTGCCTAGCTGAAAATTGCTCGAAACTTTTAGTCCTAAAATTTGTTCCACTTCATTTCAGACTAAATTCATAGTGGTTAACAAATATAGAGCAAGTCATATATTTCTTCTTATAAAAGGATCTAATGTTTCATTTATTAATTGGAGTACTAATAATTACCTTGGCTCAAAATAGACTAAAATTTTAATCAAAAAGTTGAGACTTTTAAAAGTTCTTGCCTAAGGTTAAATTAAGCTCTTGTGTGGAATGGGCTCCTGAACAATCTTGTCATCATGACCTAACCCCATGACTACTTACACTTTTGATATGTCAACTAATGCTTTTAACTTATTGTTTCCTTCTGCCTGTATAACCTTTTCAAAGTTGTGGACCACTGCTGCGAGCTTGGTGTCCCCCCTGGGATCAAAGTGGACTGGGAAATTATTGATCCAATACCTGAAAAGGTCAACATAGAAATCATTTTTCAATATTCACAATGGTTCATATTGAGAAGTTAATCATTTTCTTAAATGGAATAAAATGAAAAAAGAGCCTTCAAAGTGTAGATTAGATCTACATGGCCTCATAGTAGTCAGTGATTGCTTACATTCACTTACGTACATACTTATTTAAGTACTTAGTTTGTACTAACTAACTTTACATTTTTGACCTTACAAGCACAGACTTTAACTAAATGATGTTCAGTGAACCTAAACTTAAGATGCACACGGACTACACGTGTGTGTGCATGTGTGTTCATATGCATGCCTACCTGACAGCATGGCATACCCTGGCCTTGAACTGATTCCGCCGGCACTTATTTCCCTCGGAACTCGTGTGCTGACATGTCTGCTCACATATCACATAGCTATCACAGCTCTGGTAAGTGTTAACAGTTAAGGAAAACATATTTTTTGTTAACACAGGCAACTCTTATTGGAGTTAGAGCAAAAAATGTTTAGAATTTTTTTGGTTAATAGAGGTGTATTCAGCAATTTATGTTCAAAAAGCAATCTTTTAAAACTTTTTTTTCACAAATTATTGTTTTCAAGGTTAAATATTTTGGGTAAACAATTAATTCTTTAATTCTTATTAGATTCCATTACATACCATCAAGGGTTATCAATTTTTTCTTCAAAGTCATTAGATCTTTTACGTGTTGTACCATTTTCAATCTTTAATGAGAAATGCGTTCACATTTTTCACACCAAATGCAATTCTCTGCAAAGCTTCTTCTTGAATATTTTTTCCATATGAAACACAATTCAATATATTAAGTCTACTCTTAGATCTTTTCAGTGAACTACTCTTCAGTCGATAGAAATGCACGCCATGGGTGATTAATGAAAGCTCATTATCTTTTCTTTGACTGACCCAACCTTCAGTGGGACTATTTCTTCTCACATTATTCCTTCCCTATGCATAATGCATCAATAGTAGATAACACACATCTTGATAAGAAGAAATCTAGAGCAATAACGGACATATTCTTTTAAGTCTGTTCCAATCATAAGGAACAAAACCAAATTATCTAATCAAAGGACTGCATTTTGCAATCTTCACACATTTGCTGTTGCTTCACAAATCACGAATGTGAAGTAGAATGCAGCTGTCTAGAAAGGAGAAGTAAATGTATTGGAATGCAGGCCTTCACACTGATTATGCTACAAAACATTTTTCTTGGGACTTGATTGTATTGATTTCTTTGTAAAGGCTTCTCCATGAACACCTTAAATTGGCTTTCAATGGCTATCAGCCATCTACATATATGTTTAGTGCAGTTATCATTACCCAAAGGTTTAATTTTTTTTCGTGGCCAAGCAAATGTTTCAGACCAGAGTTACTAAAATAATATTAACAACAAAAACCAGCAGCTTAAGTGGTTTGTTTTTGAAAAACAAATACCAACAAAAGAAAAAAAACAAATTAAAAAAACTGCTTGGATTCTTTCTGAGAACTGAAACAAATACCAGTCATTTCTAATCAAACTGGGAAAGAATTTCTTCTCCAAACACATCCCTTTGGGACCATCATCAGCCAATCTTTGCTTCTCTTGAACCTCAGTTGTGTGCTAACCTATTACAAGCATGATAAAGGACTTCTGCTTCTGGGAATGCTACTAATGAGAACATTGCTCCATTTCAGCCCATCAAGACAAAGTTTGTCTAATTTTACTGTATATTCTGAGGTGAATACCAACAACAGCAGTAGTCAGCTACAAACTTTAAAATGACACTGTGCAATACAGAAGAATGCCTTTCCTATCCAAAAGCATATACGGGAATTACTTTATCTTTTCAATGGGGAAAGATGTACTGTAATTGGTCAAGATTTCTTAAAATAAGAACATTCCTATTGAGTGTTAGCTAAAAAAAAATTAAATTAAAAAGCAGGCTACTCTATAATTCTTTTCTATGCAGTAAAAGCACCTCAAATGCTAAATAGAATTTTTTTTTAAATTACAAAATTATGTATCTGAAATTTTGGTAATTTTTGCTCATTTGAAAGATCGAGTCATTACCCTAGAGTTTATTTAGTAAAAATCCAACAGTAATTTGGGGTATGGAGTTATTAAGAGTGGGATTTTATAATCTCTAATAATAACTAGTTCTTATGCTATCTCTACATGATAATTTAAGTGAATCAAATTCAGAAATTACTAAGAAGATTTTCATTTCATTAGGGTTTTCAAATATTTTTGCAAACCACAAGAAGCAAATTAAAATTGCTACAATTTCCCCTGATTCCTTAATTTTGTGCTTGGTAGCTTCCATCTTCCATTCCTTGTTATTTCACAATATGTCACTTCTAGAATCAAGGATATACTTCTATCAACTTCTGAGCTAACTCTTCAGATGAGATGAACCATCTATGCATAAGGAACAGGACTCTGGGGAAGTCTGTACTGTCTATTACTGCGCCATTTTCATCTGCAAGAAAACCAGCAAGAAAATGAAAAATCAATACGCGAGGGTCAGCAAGGTGTGGGGGGCTGCCAGTTAAATCAAAACTAAAGGCATGTATACATCAGGACTAACTTGACCTCCACTTGACTAACTGACATCATCCAATAGATAATCAAATTGTGACAAGTAAACCAGGGGCCCGTTTTGCAGAAGAACACACAACAGCCAAAAAATTGGTGAAAATTCTGGTCTCTTTTGACCCAAGAGAAATCAGTAGTATGTTATTAGGCCTATCAAATGCAACATTGCGTCCTGTTTTATTACAAGAAAGGCATGACTGCATGATGTTTCAGACCAATTCTTGATTTGTTCAAGTGGTCACTTCTGTGGATGCATCTCGAACTAGAAAAGACCAAATGTATGGTCTCAAAGTTTAGACCAAATTTGGGCTTACTATTAGTTGTAATGCAAAACCACCCCCACCCCCCTTACAAGAGCATAAAGCCCAATAAACTATGGTCATCTTGTGATATCAAACTACTCTCTGTGTGAATGAGTCTGATCATTCCCAATGGCAGACAAAGACAGTAAAACACAGATGGTGTGAAACAGAGTAAAAAAGGAATTCAAGTTGTAACATAAACTACTAGGTTTTTCTTTTTTTATTAAGGGAATTAAATAATGCACAATGAGTAGTGAAGATAACCTGAATAAAAGAGACTGCAAGACACCATGCAGTTGCTTCATAATATTAGCAACATATATGTACAAGTTGCATAATATTATCTTATTTTGCCAAAGCAATACACTTCTTAGAAATCTATGCATTCACTTTTTAGCATTCAGTTTTAAAATCCCACATAAAGTGAATCAATTTCTTTTGTTCAAGACAGTTAAAGAAAATTACCAGATACGTTTCAGATTGAGTCAAACATGCTAAAACATGTTGCACATAACCAAAAAATTCGTGACAGCTGAATTAGTCCAAAAAGATCTGTCAAAGCCTGTTTAACACATAAAAAAACTTGGAACATCAATGATTTTTTCACCAAATCTGGAACACTTATGTAAGACATCATTATACCACCACTATTAGCCCAATTTGCTTCAGTTCTGGAATTTTTTCACCTAATCTGGAACACTAATGTAAGAAATTATACCACCACTATTAGCCCAATTTGCTTCATTTCTGGGACATTCCAAGGAATTACGTATTATAAGTGCCTGGGCTACCAGTTTATTCACTGCACTTTCTTGCCAGCTGCAGAGAGAGTCTATTTGATCCAGAGTAATTGATGCCTAATGATGGAACCAAGCAGATTTCTCCAGGTCTTTGACCCTGAACATGTTTTGCAATTGGCTTCTAGGCCAACTAACACTGCTCATTTCCAGGGGTATTCTATGTGTTTATTTTCATAATTGCAACTGAAGGTTTTTTTCATAGAATCGTCTTAAAGCCCTAGCTGTAGTGTACTTTCAATCATGAGTCCAGGTAATAAACCCAGCAGAAGATTTTTATTGTGTTAAGGCTCTTTCGGAAGACGAACAGGTATTTTTATTGAAAGGCAAATTCATTATAGAAAATGGGTGATTTTCTTTCAAAATTGACTTTGGGATCTCAAGATTGTCAGCCTTGAGGCTGAGCCTGTATGACAGGTTCTGATCAGAAATGTCCATTAAATAAATATAGTTTGAAAGAAGAACTAAGTAACCTTGTCTTAAGTGTTTAGCTTAACACTGATCAAATTTTGCCAATGTTAAAATCAATTTCTGCAAAACACCAACCTTCAGACTAATGATGGGCATAATTCACTTTGTCTATGGTATGGGATATGTAACTGGTTCATAATTTACATTAAACAGTGTAAATTTTTTTATTTTGCATAGAAATCATACATCCTTGGTGCACTTAAAGGCCAAATTATTCAACTTTAACATGCACTGAATTTTGTAGGCAAAAAAATCAATTCAAAAGTTCTTCGGTGTTATCAAACACTGCCCCTCACTGTCACAGGGAAAAAATACCATTAAAGGACATCAGGGGTTATGTGTCCTATAAACTTCAAATTGTTCAAAATTGCAAAAGTTTTTGTTTCCAATTCAGGGGATCATACAGCCCTGACCTTATTTCACAGAGTAACAAGCACCTACATAGCAGACTATTTATATATTTATATCTATTCTGCCCTTCCTCTCCCCAACCAAACACAATTCAAGCTGTAAGTATATGCATTTAATCCATTTTTTGCTATTTGCACTGGACGAATAATTTATTTTCAAAAATATTTAATTTACCACATTTTAATTTTAGCTGTCAGTTATGATGCCATGTCATGATAATCTGTGTTTTTTATATGACCAGCAATATCATGGCTAATTGATCAAAATACGAGACATTATATTGAAACCTTAATTTCACTTGACAATTAAAGCACCAACTCTATTATTAATGATGGATGCTATATGAGTCTTTCAATGAATATGCATACTGATAAATACTAACTATATATACTGTATTTTTATCAAACTTACTTATACAAGGCTTCAATTTAATGATGGGTTTTTTATTTAGTTTTATTTTTTTTAACATTCCAAAATCAAGTGTACTATATTACTGCATTAATCTAGCAACATGCTACGTGTAACAGTTAAATTGGGGGCTTCTTCTTGTTTTCAGGGTATGGGAGGGGGACTGCTCTAAAAAACAAGGGCAATTATTTAAGCATGGATCATTATTATGTGAAATATGACATCACCTATCACTTACAAAATGAATCAACTGTGACTTCCACCAATTACTACATGGTTGCAGTATTCCATATTCTAGTAATCATGGTTAACTATAGCTAAGACAATTACCATGACCCAGTTTGAAAAGGATGTTGTCACAATAGTTTATAAAACGTGTAGATCTATTATTAATACTGTTATCAATAACAGAAAGACAACACAAAACAAAAAAATCAATACTTAACTTGGAGAGCATTTCAAGAGTGCAGAGAAAAGCACTAAATAAAATTTCGAGAATATTGTTGAAATTGCAATAACTTCTTTCCTTCCTGAATATATCTTATACAGGAAATTTTAACAAAGATTGTAAAAAAAAAAAACTTTTTTGATGTATCTCATCCATTAACAAAAAAAAATGCAAATCTGAAAATGTAACCTCCGTAAATACATGTATAAAATACAAATATATTGAATGTTTGGAAGGTGGCACCCTGGCACAGATACATGCTCCCTTATTACTTACCAAATGAATCAACTGTTGCTTCCACTAGTTGTTGGATGGTCGCTGTTCGAATCCCAATACCTGGAGAGACAGGAGTGGCTGGACGGTCATCCTCCAAGCAACTGAGGCGCATTTGGTTCACGCGATTATCGAACATCTCTTGACCTCTTTTAGGACTCATTGGAGGTTCTGAAAAATACATATCAAATTTAAACCAAATTGTATAACAGCTCTACTGACTTCTTTCTGAACTCATTGGAGGTTTTGAAAAAAAAAAAACGCAGTCACGTAAAAATCAAACCGTTCAACACAATGCTAGGCAGAAATGAAAACGGATTAAAACACAAACATGCAATGATCTTTATTTGAAATCATAACGCATCCTGCTCAGAATATTGAACAACTTACACTTTTCCTCATTTCCACAATGCAAAGTATTGGAAAATGCCTGCTGCAGGAACCACATTATAAGTTAATAATTTACATCCAGGGTATCAAGGCTTCATACCTACATAAGGGTTCCATTGTGAATGTGACAAAAAAATTGCAATTACATTATGAAGCAGTATATCACTTTTGTATTTCAAAACAACTGTGACAGTGTGGTATTACCTGAGTTGTAAATGCTCTAAAAAAGTACAAAGCCATATTCAGTTCAACACAAAACCAAGACAAAAGGTGTTTTCACTATCCAAAGGAGATCACCTGAGATAACACAAATTTTCTTTACTTTGTGGAATTTGGGTATGAGAGGGGTAAGGAAAAATGGCAGACTAGCAATTGTGGTGTGGCAAAAATAAACTTTTGACTAAATGTATCCACGGACATTTTTTTCTGGTTGTTTTCTATTATCATTTGCACAACAGTAAAAATTCACAGTGTTTTATGTGTTACTTCCATATTGCTTTTTAAAGTGGTATGCAGAATTTCAACATCAGGATCAAAATCTAATTATAGTGAATTTTCTACAGATTTAATTTTCCATCCCCTCTAAGGAAACAGTTCATATGTATCTTGTATCATTCCATGTAACCTTTACTTATTCCTCACACCTAACAATAATAATGATGATGATGTTTATTAGTACAAGCATATTTTATAAAGGCTATGACCTTAGGTGTTAAAACAACATTAAAAAAATAAAGGACATAAACCCCTATTATGTTAGATTTCCTTTTCAAGTGAATAAATAAGTACTGTACTCAAAGTTTGAATTTTACTGATTCAGAGGAAAAAAACAGAATGCAGATAATTGTTAACTGTTAAAAGAGGTATAAAATTTACAGTGTAGTAACATGTTTTTTTTTAGGTCTATAGGCAGACAGTTGGTAATATTTAAAAAGTTAAGATATCTTGAATATTGTTGATGACTTGAACACAAAGATTACTATACCTAAGTTTACTTTGACTTCAAATACCAGATTTTTTGGCTTGGAAATAACTCAAATTTTCAGGAAAATTTGGCTAAAAATAAAGTACCTGCTAGTACCTGCCCCAGTCCAGAGTATAGCTAACCAAATCAGGGGCGGATCCAGAGATATTTTCTGACAGTCTTCCAAATTATTTTTGTTAATCCATCCTCCATTTTTGACCGTCTTCCGACAGAAAATATTAGATACCCGTCAATGTAAACTTTAAAATCTGACCGTCTTCCGGAAGACCCAGAAGACGGCCTAAATCCGCCCCTGCAAATACACCACATATAAACTATCTTGCCAGCTCCATACAGCAATACTGAACAGCATTTTACCTGCCTTCCCATTAGCCTTTCCTGACATAGGAGTAGCACTTTGACCTCCTTCATTAGACCTTGTACAGCAATCCCCTTACCAGGTAATGGTTCACAGAAAAAATAAAGCTGTCTGATTTTTCTGAGAATGCCAAGACACCATAGTTAACCATGCATGATGATGAGAACAAAATTGGGGCAAATGTTTACACAAGCCCTAAGGCCTGTTCAGACATAGTCCATAACAGAACGGAAATAGGTCAAAATGTATGATTAGACAAAAAGTCTACACCAAAATCAAAGCAAACCCTGAATATCTTGGGTTCTAATAGCATAAAATGACATGGGGCTTTGATTTCTGAGGCACAGTGCAGTATTTAAAGAAACCTGTAAGACATCTGATTTGTTTCCAACTTTTTTCTGCTTAATGCTTTTTACTGCAAAAGAAAAGTGAAAAATAGAATAATATAATCTGATATAGTGTAGCTAAACAAAAATAGTATCCAGAAATAAACTAATTACAAAGGAAATTTAAAATATATACATAACTCCCACATAAAAATTAACTGAATAAGTAATTGAAAATAGGTAAATTGAAAATGGTAATACATAGATACATAAAAAATAGTGATAAATTGTTGAAAATGATTAGCATTTGTAAAAAAGGTTCCTTACTTTTGTGTGGAATTGTTCAGCAATGTATTGCCACTATATTACATACGCAGCAATTTCTGAAACATTCTGTCATTTGGTTCTATCTAAACCAGTTGAGCTTCAGCCACGAACCTGTAAACACTATCTATTGCTCAGCTTATGACAATAAACTATTGTAACCATGTAAAAGAATCTAGTTGGTTATACACCTAGCTTTTGAAGAAAATTTAGATTCAACACCACTACATGCAGCATTTGTGAATTATTTCATTATCTTTACTAGAAAACAGAAAGTTAATGCAAAATCCTGTTCCAATGTAGCTTAAACATGTAATGAGTTTTTGTCATTTCCCATGATATCATATTCATGATATTCATTGTGTCCCAATTTCCTCATTTATCTAGGGCATCTAGTCTCAATAAAAGACTCCATGCATGCACACTGAAATGTTGGATATCTTTTTTATTCAAATTACAGAATCAAGGACTAACGTGTTGACTGAGGCTCTCGAAGTATCAAATAAATATCTTATCTAAATATCTAATTTCATTCAATTGCAATATTTTTAATTTAAAACTCTAAAAATCTATCATTTCAATCATCTCTAATAAACAAATGAAAGGCATACAAGCAAATTTTTTTCGGTCATCCAGTAGAATAAGAATAATAATTCTACATAAATCAAATTCAGGAGCTTAGGTGGTAAAAATTCAACAACAAACCAAAATTGTGACTTCACCTTAAATGACACTAAATGAGGTGATCATTCCATCCAGGTCATTGGACAGATATAGATAGATATTTTATTTATTCTGAATTGTGAGCAGAAGCACACAAATTAAAAAAAATTTTCTTTTCACAATATCAACAAGTTCAGCATTACTTAGAGAAATGCCATGGGTGAGACTGCAACATCAGTTTGTGGTTGAAATTTTTGCGAAGTTCCAGAATTTGACTTATATATATATATATATATATATATATATGTATAACCATATTTAACAGATCACTGATCAAGTTAATATCCAGTCCTGACTTTCTTTTATATTCATCATCTTCATCATTATATAGCAGACATGACATGACCCACTGCTGAAACACTTATGCTTTATAGCAAAATGATCAGAAATAATCAAAGCACAATACAATCCAGTCAGACATTTCATATCTAAGATGAAGTTTATCAGTCTAGATGTGATTTGCAATAAACTATCGACTGAAATTATATATGTAAGACTGACAATTTAATGAAATTTGTTTATATATCATTTAAAAAACCTAAGAGTAGCAATAAATAATGGTGTTTTACCAAAGTGATGCAAAATTGTAATCCTTCTGCTTCTGCTTCTGCTTTTACAACTCCCGAGTTTATCAGTCGTTCCCTTTGCTTCAATTTTCTTTACAATCTCCCAAAACTTCATTCCAAATGTTTCTCCAAATCTGATAACAGAATCTGCAGTCAGTATTCATTGTCCTTTGTAAAACTGGCAAACACAAGAAATTCAGCTTGCAAGCCTATCAAGAGAAGATCCATGCTGCTCATCCTCTCTATCCAAGGACAGATGACAAAAATCATTAGTTTCAGATCCAGAGAAGTGCTCCACCAAGAATTGCTGGCTTTCAGTAGACCCTTCACTTAAATGTATCTTTACACAAGAAAGTTCAAGCCACATGTCGAGATGTATAGTATGATAAAATCACATAGACCCCATCCCTGGAAATAATAGCCCTTTCTATGATCTAGCAACAATTCTTCTTGCCTGACTACTGCTGCACTGAAGGACTTTATAATGCTGCCAGCATCTAAATTTGACCCGGCTGTCAAGGCCCTCATCAGGATTGCCTGCAAAGCATAATGCCACCATCATCTTCAGGTGGCCCCACAATAGTTAGCATTCAGCAAATAAAATATGCTCAAGATTTATTGTGAAGTTGCAGTCTAGCTGTGGCAATCAATGCCTAATGTATATAATGAGTTTGAGCTTCAAATGCTATAGACTTCGTATCCATTTTGGAATTATTCCGAACAAAAGGATGACAGTTTCTTGCATGTACTAATGACCTTCCAAGGCAGCATCCCAGCATTTTAATCAGATCTAACAGGATTACTTCTTTCTAACTAAAACCCAGTAAATTGCCTAGTGGGACCAGGGTCTTATAGTTCCTGGGAGTTTTACAGTGAAAACACTGATAGAAGGGGAAAGAGTCCCTTTACCATCAGTGTCCAATCAGCTGCATGAAGTTTAAAACAAGTCTTTCAAAAGAGAAAATAAAATTATAACAAAACAATTGCACATTTTCATTTTGATAGACTTTGGGGCAGGGGAATTATATATGATACAAATATGCAGAGATGTTAAATTTGTACATTTTATTTACCATAAGTCATGATGACAGGAATTTTAAATCAGTCCCTCTCCCATCTTTACCATATCCAACATACAGAACAAACATTTCTTTTATGCTGAATAGAAATCACTCCTTATAAATATCATGGGTATTCTTTTTTTCTTTTGAAAAATAACTGAAATATATTCTAGGGCTTATGTTATATCCCGAGCCAAAGTATTACATTGAAAGAAATATCAACAATTTTCCAACACATAAATGAATCATTCAAAGAATATAAGTCAAGATGGCACCGTACTATGGCGACATGATCTGTCGTGCTGTAGTAATCCTTGTTATTTTACTGCCAATCTTTATCCTTACTTTTGGATACATAACTTATTCAAGAGAGGGGTTGCTATAGGGATCAGAAATACTCATATTGATGGGAGCTGTGACATGATAAGAATACTAAAT